TGACGAATAAATGACATGCAGAAAAAAGGAAAGGAAGAGGGAGGGAAGAAGGAGGGAGAAAGAAAGAAGAGAGAAAGAAGGGAGGAAAGAAAGAGAAGGAAAGAGAGAAGGAAGGATGGAAGCAAAGAGCAAAGGAAGGAAGGAAAGAGGTAGAGAAGGAAGAAAGGAGAGAAAGAAAGAAAAGGAGAGAAAGAGGGAGGGCAAGAAAGAAGGAAAGAGAGAATGAAGAATGGAAGCAAAGACAAAGGAAGGAAAGGGAGGGAAGGAAGGAGAGAAAGAAGAGAAAGAAAAGAAGGGGGAAGGAAGGAAGAGAAGAGAGGGAAGGAAGGAAAGAAAGAAGAAAGGAAGGAAGGAAGAAAGAGGAGAGGAAGGAAGGAGAAAAGGGGAGGGAAGAAAGAAAGGAGAGAAAGAGGGAGGAAAAGAAAAAGGGGGGAAGGAAGGAAAGAGGTAGAGAAGGAAGGAAGAAGAGAAGGAAAGAAGAAAAGAGAAGAAGGAAAGAGGGAGCAAAGGAAGGAGGGAAAGAAGGAGAGAAAGAGGGAGGGAAGGTTGGCCACAGCAACGCGTGGTGGGTACAGCTAGTTACCTATTAAAACTTAATAGAGGCAGTTCCAACAGAGTGTACACCATCCCTGACTCCTGGTTTGTCCTTGAAACTAAAGTGAGAGGCTCTCAGGAAGTGTTTATGGGATTTCAGATGATGATTGCATTATCCTAAGATTATTCTAAGATTTTTTCTCTCTCCTCCTGACTCATGTATTGCACTTCTCCAAGAGAGATGAGTGCAGAAAGAACGGAAGAAAAGAAGGAAGGAAGGATCCGCACTCTCACCCACATCCTTTTCCGGAGGTGCTAAGATATTTTAAGTCTTCTTAAATCATTCTGGTTATAATCGAGCGCAACAAAGCCAGAGATTTGTAGTCCCAGCTGTATTTTTGCAGGGCTCATTGGCAATGAGTAATTTTCCTATTTGGCTCACATTGTTCCAGCTTAAAAGAATCTGATGGCACTGAATAAGCAGTTAATCATCATACAGTTCCACCGATTAAAACAATTTCTCTCCCTCTCTAGTTTGGATAGGTGGCAGCATTTCAAAATCCTTGCGAGGGATGATGAATAGACAAGAAGCCAATCAAGCACAAAATATTGCTTAATGTAGCTGGTTACACTCTACGATGTCGCGCATGCATTACTTTCTCCTAAGCTGGCGCCTGACAACTATCATTGGTCAGGTATCAATCACGGCAGGCACACTCTGCAATATTATTATTATTATTATTATTATTATTATCATCATCATGTGTTGTTGAAGGCTTTCATGCTCGGAATCACTGGGTTGCTTGCTGTGATTTTTCCAGGCTGTATGGCCATGTTCCAGAAGCATTCTCTCCTGACGTTTCGCCCACATCTATGGCAGGCATTCTCAGAGTTTGAGGATGCCTGCCATAGATGTGGGTGAAATGTCAGGAGAGAATGCTTCTGGAACATCACCATACAGCCTGGAAAACTCATAGCAACCTTTTATTATTATTATTATTATTATTATTATTATTTGAAATACAACAAGATGAGTCCACAGAAGACACTCTGCTGGCTGTTGTAATGGATCACACGTCGGACACTTCCCAAGTGTCTAGGAGTGTGTGATGTATTGGCGAATAATTCATGCAGATCCCAGTAAGAGGTGGCCTTTTGCAGCTGGCAGATGGTAATTTTGTCAGTGCCGATTGTGTTTAAGTGCAGGCCAAGATCTTTAGACACTGCACCCAGTGTGCTGATCACCACTGGGACCACCTTGACTGGCTTGTACCAGAGTCTTTGCATTCGATCTTTGAATCCTCATATCATATCAGCTTTTCCAGTTGTTTCTCTGCAATCCTGCTGTCACCTGGGATTGTTTCATCGACAATACATACTTTGTTTTTTAACACGATTGTGAGGTCAGGAGTGTTGTGCTCCAAAACTCTGTCTGTCTGAATCCGGAAGTCCCAGAGGAGTTTGGCGTGTTCATTCTCTGTAATTTTCAGCTTGTGATCCCACCGGTTCTTTGTCGCAGGCAGATGGTATTTGTGGCACAAGTTCCAATGAATCATCTGAGCAACGGTGTTATGCCTCTGCTTGTAGTCTGTCTGCACGATCTTCTTGCAGCAGCTGAGGATGTGATCTATTGTTTCATCTGCTTCCTTGCAGAGTCTACATTTAGGATCTGTTTTCTCCTTCTCCTTCTTAGAAACACAACAAGATGAGTCCACAGCAAACAAGTTCACTCTGCTGGCTGTGTCTATGACTGTGTCATGTATCAGCGAATAATGTGTGCAAATCCCAGTAGGGTGGCCTTTTGCAGCTGGCAGATGGTAATCTTGTCAGCACCGATTCTGGAACATGGCCATACAACCCCAGAAAACTCACAGCAACCCATCCATTTATTTGTCTCATGAGCCAACCACAGCATCCAGAGAACTCTTCTCCAGAACTACATCTCGAATGAGTAGTGGCAGTAAGCATTTCCAGACTATAGTAGTTTTGTTATTATTGTTGCCATTTTTATTATATTCATTTCTATCTAGCTATCATCCCAGAATGGGACATAAAGCAGCTGCTATTTTAAATGGTGTATTTTAATATTTAGAGAAATGTTTTTAATGTTTATGTATTATATCCAGGCATTGAATGTTTGCCATGTATATGTTGTGCTCTGCTCTGAGTCCCCTTCGGGGTGAGAAGGGCAGAATAGAAGTGTTTTAAATAAATAAATAAATAAATAAAACTTAAAACTCACACACCAGGACAAGAATCATCCCCCTTTGCTTCCCTTTTTATTCAAGCAAGCATTTCACAAATTTTAAGCGAGCCTTTCGCTTAAAATTTATTTAGAAAAAGAGGTATTAATGAGAGGCGTTTTATCTATTTTTGCCACTGTGTTTTAATTGTGTACTGATATTATTTTAACCTTGTGTTTTTCAAACTGACCTGTTGTTGTATATGACTTTAATAGGATGTTCATATGACCTTTAAAAAAATTGTCCTTTGTTTCTTGTATTTATTTATTTACTTCATTTATATACCGCTTTTCTCACCCGAGGGGGAGGTGGGGCTCAAGACGGTTTCCAACATATTCATGGCAAAATTCAATGCCTAACACACATGCGAAAACCCTAACATGAAACAACAATAACATATAACTATCAATTAAATCATAAAAATGCAATAATATTTACCACTTGTCTCCTATCTTGTTCTGTAGTTTGTAACTCCATTTCCCACACACTTTTCAAGTCCTGTATTGTACACCTATTTCTATTAGCATCGTGTATATTTTACTGGCATGCGTCTTATTTCCTTCCACTTTTTCTCTCACTGAACAATGCGATTGGGTAATGATTTTAGTAATGAGACGCCAAGGATTTATACTTTTATCGGTTTTATTTTATTTTATCAAATGTTATTTATGCTAAATGTTTTAATTGTTTTTATGTTATTGTAGGCATTGAATTGTGCCGTTTGTAAACCACCCTGAGTCGCCCTTGGGCTGAGAAAGGCGGTATATAAATATGGTTAATAAATAAATAATAGTAAATAAATTGTCTTTTCAAAGGTAGTGTGGTCTCTTTTTATCATATTAATATTTTCTTTAGTATTGAGATATGCACAAATTGCTCTTATCTGTAGCCATTTTTTTCTGTCCAAGCTATTGTTTCATTCTGTTCTCCCTCACCTTTCCCTCATTATCATATAATTGTTCTAATCTATTTCCTTCAATATCTGGATATTTCAATTCACATTTGATTCTTTCTCTCTATTTTTTGACCATACTGTTGACATTATAAAAACGTAATAACATTTAGACATTAAAACATAAGGTTAATAAAAACATATTAATATAAACAGTAAAATCACATAATCGGAAAATAATAATCCAAGGCCGTTCTAATATCAAATATCAACTGCACATAATCCCTGTTCATTCCTTATTGCCCAAAGGCTTGGTCCCACAGCCAAATTTTTACTTTTTTCCTGAAGGCCAAGAGGGAGGGCGCTGATCTAATTGCATTGGGGAGGGATTTCCATAGTTGAGGAGACACCACTGAGAAGGCCATGTCTCTCATCCCCACCAATCACACTTGCAAAGGAAGTGGGACTGAGAGCAGGGCCTCCCCACACAATCTTAGTCTTCGAGATGGTTCATAGAAGGAGATATATTTGGACAGGTTAGTTGGGCCTGAACCGTTTGGGGCTTCATAGGCCAAAGTCAGCACTTTGATTTGTGCTCGGTAGCAGACTGGCAGCCATTGGAGCTGGTGTAACAGGGGGGTTTGTTTACTCCCTGTACCCAGCTCCAATGGCCATTCTGGCTGCCACCTATTGGACCAACTGAAGCTTCCAAACAGTCTTCAAAGGCAACCCCACGTAGAGTGTGTTGCAGTAATCTATTTGGGACATAACTACAGAGTGGACTACCATGGCCAAGTCTGACTTCCCAAGGTACGGGCGCAACTGGTGCACAAGTTTTAATTGTGCAAAAACTCCCCTGGCCACTGCCGAAATCTGATGTTATTTATTTAATTACTTCATTTATATACTGCTTTTCTCACCCCGGGGGTGAGTCCCGAATCACTCCCAAGCTGTCTTGGATCCCACATAAGAAAAAAAGACATTAAATAAATACAAACATGGGTCTGCATTACTATTCATGTTATTTGCTCTTGTTAATACCAATTTTCCATAATCAGAAGGGGGCTCTCAGAAGGGGATTCTTCCAAGTATTATTATTATTATTATTATTATTATTATTATTATTATTATTATTATTATTGGTTTGTGTGACTTCCTTCTGCTCATCTGCCTCATTTCCCCCTACTGCTTTACAGCAATGTCACTGTTTGGATGCTCGCAGCCACTCTTAATAAAATGTTTGAAGATATCCAAAAGGAAAATATATTAAATCTGCTTTGGATACTTATAAGGAAAGATGTATTCATTTCCCTTCAGAAATATCAACTAACCTGGTTCAGGCTTGTGGACACTGGACTCGAAACAATACAGTCATCGCTGTCAGACACTGATTCAACAGCATCAGCCATGCATTGCTCATCTTGCTCTGTTGAAAAAAATGAACAAACAAATAAATACTCTAGTATTATGTGCAGTTGAGATTATTAAAGAAAACTGTAAGACGGCATAACCGCTCAGTGAGAAGTGGAAGCAGCTTGAAGTAATGATATATGATTTCTTTTCCTTGCAGACAAAACATGACACTGGGTAATCGGTGATAATTAAATGGTCTGCAGGGTTACTCAATTCCTCTTTCAGGCCTCGTTTCACTTCGGCTCAGCATTTGGAGAGATGTGAGGTTACCAACTTGGATACCGAAAGAGATGATCATTAAATAACAACAGAGTTATAGAACAGATTCCTAAATCACATAGAACTGTGCTGAGACTTAAGATGTTTGACATTAAGGAGGCAAACTGGCATCAAAGCTTTGGTGACACGTTCTATTGCATAATTATCAAAAATCCTGTGACTCCCTTAAACAAATTATGGTTATAAGAATAAGATGAAGATCTAAATCTTCAAGAGAAATTCAGAACTATGGTGACACCAGTGAGAAGGCCCTGTCTTCTCAGGCTTGCTGTTCTAAACAGTTTAATCAGGTGAGTCATGGGTTTATCAGTAGAGTGATGGTTTGGAGGCTATTAAGAAACCTCAGTTAGGGTTTAAAGGGGTAGCATTGACACTTTGAATATGGACCAAAAATGTATGGGCAACAAATGCAATCATGGCAAAAAATCAGACTTTTTAGCCACCAGTTGAAATTTTCAAACTGCTTTCAAAGATAGTCGAACATCTAGGATATCAGAAAGTCTCGGAGCTCATTTCTTGGACAGTAAGCTTTCACAAAAAGAGGTTTATATTTTTTACATTCATTGCATTGAAGTTCTTGTAAAACCTTTCATATAGAGATGTGATAATGCCTGCACTAGCCCCTTTCTACTTCAGACTCTTCCTTCCTTCCTTCCTTCCTTCCTTTGGCATCACAAGTGGCTGCTATCTGCAGACAAAGGGAGCTCCTGTTTTAAAATATTCCCCAGAAAGCTCTCTTCTGAAGTATGGATTGTTGGGAAAGTGGGCTTATTAAGAAACAACCCTCTGCATAAATGCACAGCAGAGTAACTTATTTGCGGCAGCATGACCCAGCACCAGGAGACAAAGTGATAAAAAGAACAAAAAACACATAGACCAATGTTATCTCTTTCTTAGGAGGTTTTTCTTTACAGCAAAATAATATGGTTGTACTGGGCTGTTTCATATAGCCCGAAAAACGTACAACAAAACATAAACGTTCTCGCCTGACATTTCACCTGCATCTATGGCAAGCATCCCCAGAGGTTGTGAGGTCTCTTTTTTTAAAATAATAATCTTTATTTGATGTTATCATTTTAAAAAGCAATAAAAAGCAATAGATTCCATGTGCAGCATCAATAAGTTCAATAGTATAAGAGAGAGAGAGATGAGAGAAAAAATAAAATAATAATAATAAGGAATAAAAGATAAAGGATGAATGACAGAAATATAAATTTTTGACTTCCTGGTATCTTCTAGGGGTCTTCTTATATTTTCTTTTCTCACTCTTCCTCCTCTCCTTCTCCTTCTTTTCTACTTCTTTCCCTTCCTTTTTGCCAGCCCTCTCTTTGTTCTCTTCAGTTTTTAGATCAAAATCATCTTCTTTTTTTATTTCAAGTATTCGGTAACTTTTTTCCAATCAATTTCTTCCATTCTCATTTCTTTATTCTTTGCCACGAGGAAAGTGAGTCTGTCCATATTTCTGATCTCTAGTATTTTCGTTAGCCATTCATCTTCTTTATACTTCCTTCTTTGCGTCCACGCTGGGCTTCTTTCTCATGCAGATAAACAGCTTCACTCTCAAAGAACCTCTTCTCAAACTAAACTTATACAGGAGCTTCACACAGTAGCCTTTTACACATAGCAGCCTTCACACTGGAGCTTCACCCACGATGGCCTTTAACCTTGGACTTCTTTCACAGAAGCTTCTCACCCCAGGCCTTCACACACAGAGGTAAAGTAACACTGAAGCCTACCTCACACTGAGGCCTTCTCACACTGAGGGTTCTCTCAGACAGAGGCCTTTCTCCCACTGAGGTGAACTAACACTGAAGCCTTCTCACACTGAGGCCTCTCACAGACTGAGGGCAAACTAACACCGAGGCCTCTCACAGATTGAGATCTGATAACACTGAGGTCTCCCTCAGACTGACAGCCACGAAGCTACAGGCACAACTGCTTTTTCTGAGTCATTGCATCCATTTAACCCTTTCAGTGCTTAACTCACATTTTTGTAATTAAAAATACCTAGTTAATATTTAATATTTCTGACATGGATCTCACATGAAGGAAGAATATAAAGACATTTTAAAACGGAAGCCAGCTTCCTTTAACATTTTATGGAACAAGTTTGGAGATGAAACTCCCTCCTTCCCTTCTTAGTCAATTATTACTAAGCTACGAGTTACTGTTTTAGATTAACATGCCACCAACCCCAAATTAGCTCTAGTCGGGAAGGAGATCAAAAGTGCTGAAACTAGTCAACGTATGTGGCACATTGTGCAGGCTGATAATTACCTTCTGGTTCCAAATCCTCAGTAATTTCAGTTTCATCCCCCGAATAAGCTGAGCTCTGGTCAGCAAACTGGTCTTCGGAGAGCTGAGAAGATTCCTCTTGTTCTGGTTGAGTCTTCCTTGCAGATTTACATGTTCCTGCTTCAGTTTCTGGTTTGGCCTTGAGAAATATAAGGATTATACAAGCAAAGCTTTGCACATTTGTAGTCATTTCTTTTTTTGTTTTGGGGTGGGTGAGGGTTACAATTAGCATTAAGTTTTACATATATCAGTGGTTTCCAACCTTTGGCCCTCCAGGTGTTTTGGACTCCAGCTCCCAGAAATCCCAGCCAGTTTAACAGCTGTTAGGAACTGTGGGAGCTGAAGTCCAAAACACCTGGAGGCCCAAAGGTTGGGAACCTCTGACATATATAAATGCATCTAATCTCAGAGGACTGATGAGCTCGTATTCCTCAGAGATTGGGGTGACTGATGTAATCTTGTAATTTAATACATATGAGAATTTAGACTAATCTGCTTTTCTGAAGTTGAATCTTCATTTAAATCGAACTTCCTGAGCAGTTGGAAATAATCGGCATATTATCAGCCAATGCTGTGTGTTTGGTACTGGTAGTCCCACTGATTTAGTGCATTGCTGCACAATACTGTTGCTCACAAAAAGAAGGTCTGGGTTATATCCTCAGAGCCATCTCCAACTGTTGTAGGATGGTGGGAGCTTACTATCATGAATAAGAGATAGTTTATGCAATTCAGCCCAGGAAAGGGCAGCCTCTCCATTTTTATCCTCCTGGGCATAGCCCCATACGTGGCTATGGCTATTACAATCACCACTACCGTCCTTTGGTGTCTATCAAAGTTCTCAGGAGAGAAGAAACAAAACTTCATTTGGAGGGTTGTACATAGAGGTAATCACACCAGAAGCGACTTGCAGTATGCAACCAACCAACCAACCAACCAACCAAACGGACCTTTTCAGGACCAGCTATGACAGTGTTTCTCAACCTTCCTAATGCCATGACCCTTTAATCCAGTTCCTCATGTTGTGGTGACCCCCAACAATAACATTATTTTCGTTGCTACTTCATAACTAATTTTGCTACTGTCATGAATCATAATGTAAATATGAGATGTGCAGGATGTATTTTTAATCACTGGACCAAATTTGGCACAGATACCCAATACGCCCAAATTTGAATACTGGTGGGGTTGGGGGGATTGATTTTGTCATTTTGGAGTTGTAGTTGCTGGGATTTATAGTTCACCTACAATCTAAGAGCATTCTGAACTCCACCAATGATGGTTTTGAACCATATTTGACACATAGAACTCCCCTGACCAACGGAAAATGCTGGAAGGGTTTGATGGGCACTAGCCTTGAGTTTTGGAGTTGTAGTTCACTTACATCCAAAGAGCACTGCGGACTCAAACAGTGATAGATCTGGACCAAACTTGGCACGAATACTCATTATGTCCAAAAAAAATCCACTGGTCGACTTTGGGGGAAAATAGACCTTGACATTTGGGAGTTGTAGTTGCTGGGATTTATAGTTCCCCTACAATCAAAAAGCATTCTGAACCCCACCAATGATGGAATTCCCACACAGAACCTCCATGACCAACAAAAAATATTCTGATGGTTTTTGGCGACCCCTCTCACAGGGGTCCCTACCCCTAGGTTGAGAAATGCTGAGCTATGATTATAGTCTCAATTAACATTAAAAAGACATGTCAGCGGTCAAAGAACAGTTGCTTTATAAACTGTGTTGTGATAATAAATGTGATGTGTTGTGTACCTAAGAAACACAGGGATAAACAACAGAAACTACTAAATTCTGGGAATTATCTTAATGGCGGAAAAACCACATGCATAGTATGGAAGTGCTGTCTTTGTAAAACTGGGCCTCCAAGTCAGAGGATTGATGATGGTATATTATTATTAAGATCAATTGTTCATCATCGTCACCTTCATCCATTTATATAGCACCACCATCGCTGTACATGACTCTTTGCTAGCAAAAAAGCAACACAACACAATTTCTAACCCCACAAATTGTATTAGATATTCCTGTATTAGGAATGTTTTCTGCTGCAGATGCAACTCCCAACTTGGATAGTAGCCCATACTGGAAGCGCTATAGAGGCCGACTCCATGAACCCTAATCTATCTTGGCACTGCACTCTCGGTTCTTTAATATGTAACATGACATGGCTTGTAAACCTGCATAAAAATATCCACTAAAGCATTCAATTTGCAATGCCGAGTTTTCGCTTTGCATTTCTGAGCTGCCCGTGAAACGGAGACTCCATTGAGGGGAAGAAGAAAATGACTTTCCTGTAACTAAGCACAACCTGTCAAATCACTTTCTTTGTGAAGGGTCAAGTCTGCCAGGAAAGAGGAGAGGGGTGGTTTGGTACAGTTCTAACTTCCTAGCCCTATCCTGGTAAATTATTTATTTATGACATTTATATGCCGCCCTTCTCACCCGAAGAGCGGTTTACGAGATATATATACATACTATATATAATATTATTAGCATAGTACAATATCAGTATTATATATTACTATATCGTATTATACCATGATATTGTAATATTATATGTAATATAATATATGTAATTATAATATCATATTATTATTATTGATATATTATTAGTAATATTACATGTAATAGAAAACATATAATTATAATATATTATTATTAGTATTACATTGTATTACATTATAATATTATAAATGTTATATGTATATACAATATATTATATTACATTATTATATTATATTATATTTTTCTGTTAAGATTCCCTTTGGCATCCTGGATTCAAGATGATATTCAGCTATAACTAGCCAGATAAAATTGACAGAAAATACTAGATTTGTTGTGTGCTTTCAAGTCATTTACTATTATTGTTGTTGTTGTTGTTGTTATTATTAGTATTATTATTACTATTATTTCATAGCCCAATGCTCAGACCACTTTTTCATGCTAGTTCTGAGACATTAAGTTACTTTTATCAAATACTCTAGGCATGCTATGCAGCATTCTGAAGAAAAACTAACTCATATTCTCCAAATCCAGACAGACAAGAATGAAGTTTCTAACAACACTTTCAGTTACTCACAAGCTATAGTCCTGAGACCAGATTTTTAAAAAACCAATGTTTGAAATCCCAAATAAATGAACACATTGCCCGATCAATTAATCTTTTTCCATTCCACATAGAAAGAGAAATACAAATAGAATTGGTTTGAAGGCTAGTGGACTTTATATGACAGCATACCTGAGGAATGTCTGACACAATGGGCTTTTCATCTTTAGCTTTCTCCTCAGTGTCTTTATCAGGATTCTAAATTATTAGGATTAAAACATAGAAAATAATTTATTACCCTTTGCAATATGAAAAACATTCCATACAACATACAGTAACCTTGAGTTCTACATGTAGATTCAATAGATCATGGAAACATTTGGGTAAACACTTACATGAGCATACGCTCTGGTTACATCCCGAATAGATTACTGTAACACGCTCTACGTGGGGCTGCCTTTGAAGATGGTTCAGAAACTTCAACTAGTTCAACGGGCGGCAGACAGATTACTAACTGGGGCAGCATAAAGGGAGCATACCACCCCCCTGCTATGCCAGCTCCACTGGCTGCCGGTTCATCTCCGAGCCCAATTCAAAGTGCTGGTTTTGACTTATAAAGCTCTATACGGTTTTGACCCAGATTACTTGTCTGAACGCATCCACCCCTATGTCCCGCCTCGTGATCTAAGATCATCCGAGGAGGCCCTGCTCTCGCTCCTGTCAACAGCACACTCCCAAACGAGGTAAGATCTGCTCCCTCCCTCCTGGCTTTAAGAAAAAAAATCATGGTTTTGGGACTAGGCCTTAGGGCAGTAGAAGTAAATGTATGCAGCATCTCAGAAAGACAAGGACTGGAATGGCGATTATTGTTTTAATTATTGCTTTATTGCTTATGGATGTACTGTTTTTAACTTGATTTATGTCTAATTGTATTGTAAAATTGCAATTGTTTGTACAGGCATTAAATTTTGCCATTACTTATGTGTAAACCGCTTTGAGTCCCCCTTGGGGTGAAAAAAGCGGTATACAAATGCTGCAAATAAATAATAAATAAATACACCTTCCTCCATTCCCAATATACTGCCTCCCCTGACTACATATTAGGCATGTCATGATATCAACACACCCAAGAACAACCCAAGTATTATTCAAGGTAAGGCAAGGTAATTAGAGGAACATCCTTCAAATAATGGCCTCCTATTTGTGAAATTCTCTCTTCCAGGAGGCCTATATTGTTCTAACATCGCTTTCAGAATAAGACAAAAATATCTTCACTATCTTGGCATGTTAATCTATTGTCATCTTATATATGACCTTGTTTTTGGAATTTCTTCTTTCCAAATAAATAAAATATCCTTTACCGTATTTGACAAAGCAATCAGATCTACAAATGACACCTTCTTATCCACTGCAGCTGTACGATGTCTAGGTTTAGGCTGTGGCCTCTAAGGAACAAGAGAAATACATCAAAATCAGTAATGTTCACCAAAGTACTGTAGATATGTGAGTATAAGCCTAGATTCTAGGCTGAAAAGGCCTCCCTTGACTTATATTCAAGTCAAAGTTATTTATTATTTTACTCTGTTGTTGTTGTTGTTGTTATTATTATTACATTTATTACTTTACTCTATTTTATTATTATTTGTGTATATGTGTACATATGGTGTGTTTGTGCATATATGTGGTTCTGCGCATGTGTTATAATGTATTTTTTGTTTTTTGGGCTTTTTAAATCTCTTATGCTGACTTTGTCAGTGTTTTTATGAGTGATGGTCACTTGTTGGCCTGATAGGTGTATTGTGTCCAAATTTGGTGTCAATTTGACCAGTGGTTTTTGAGTTATGCTTATCCCACAAACGAAGATTACATTTTTATTTATATAGATTTCATTTACATTATTTTACTCTAGTATTATTATTTTATTACATTTATAATTTTACTCTATTCATTATTATTATTATTATTATTATTATTATTATTACATTTATTATTTTACTCTAATATTATTTTTATTACATTTATTATTTCATTCTATTTATTATTGTTATTATTACATTTATTATTTTACTCTATTTATTATTATTACATTTATTTTACTCTATATTTATATTTACTCTATTATTGTTATTACATTTATTATTTTACTCTGTTTAAATAATAACCTACTGATGCCGCAACTAATGTAATTTTGGTATCTATATTATTTTGAAGTTTACCAGTAGCTGCTGCATCTCCCACCCTCAGCTTATACTCGAGTCAATACGTTTTCCCAGTTTAATTAAAATAAGGTATATCAGCTTATATTTGGGTCCGATTATACTCGAGTACAGTATTTCCTCTGTTCATTTACACGATGAGTAGGTTTACATATGGATGATCAGTTTAGACACTCGGGAATAACTGCCTCTTTTCTCCCCCTAAAATTGATTTCAAACCCCAAACAGCCTGGAATATGGAATTCACAATGCCTTCTGTTCCAGACTACTGAATTTGGGAAGCTCCATTTCTCAAGTATCTTAATGGAAAACCCAGTAAGTATGCTGCAGAGCATTTGCTACCCCTTTGGCAGATTATTCCAGTAGGTTTTCAGAACTAAAGATTTGTAAGGAAAGAGCTCTTATGAGGATATGGCATTGTTGAAATGTGGCTTCATATCTGTTTACAGCACTTATTAATATAGATGGAGTATCCATTATTTAAAAAACTTGGTACTCCCAAGAGTGTGGGTGTCCCCCCCCCCCCCAGATCTTGGAGCACCTTGTGTATACGTACATAGTGTTTTGGAGATGGCCCCTCGAAATTCATTTATGTTTCATATACACCATGTACACATAGCCTTAAGGTAGCTGAATATACAATATTTTAATCATCCTGTGTGTGAATCAAAGTTGATGTGCATTAAACCTTCAGAAACAAAGGTCTTGCTTTCCCAGCTACCCAAGTGAACAATTTGGGATTCTACAATCTCCAGTAAGAGATGCTCAGCCTGCATTGCTAGTCATTTAATTCTATTTCAATGTTGACTTTGTTTTTAACTATACCGTAATCTGAAGAAAAGGCAGGATGTAAATAAGGATAATGATCATGATGATAATCCGGCTCTGGCCAAATGTACCTGTCTGAACGTATCTCCTTCTGCGTCTCACCTAGGAATTTAAGATCTTCTGGAGAGGTCCTGCTCTCGGCCCTGCCCTTGTCACAAACGAGACTGGTGGGGACGAGGGACAGGGTCTTCTTGGTGGTGGCCCCCCACTTGTGGAATTCGCTCCCCGGGGAAATTAGATCATCATCATCCCTCCTCTCTTTTAGAAGGAAATTAAAAACATGGATATGGGACCAGACCTTTGGGTAATCTGGCAGTCTGACAAGGACAATGACGACAAGAGCTTTGGAACAGATTATGATAAGCTGAATGGATTCACTAATTACAGAACTTGGCAAAACAATGGCCACCAGGCTGGCTTTTTTTCTATTACATTTTACTGTATTAACTTAATGTTTTAATTATTTATAATTACTGTTGTTGTGTATTTTACTGTGTTGAATTGTAGGCATTGAATATGTGCCGGCTGGAAGCCGCCCTGAGTCCCCCCTAGGGGGTTGAGAAGGGCAGGGTAGAAATACCCGAAATAAATAAATAAATAAAATAATATACCACTGTTGTTGAAGTGAACAGAGGTGTCAGGAGAGGGCCTTCCCCTTGTCCCTTCACTGGTTTCTCGTTCTGGATATAACGTGACAGGTCTGCTGCTACAATCGAACCAGGTGGTTGTAGATAGGAAAATTTCCATTTCAGCTCAATGCTGATTGTACCGACGGAGAGGCCTTGGGAATCTGTTAGTTCAAAGGTACCTGAAAACCCAATCACAAGAGCAAATCCATGACTTCATCTTCTTAAGGTTCAACATATTGACTAAACAGATCCCTCTACAATTTTTTCAAGCAGCTAAAACATTTTTTCATCCAATGCTCACATAGGATATGAAGCAGGGCCGTAAAGTATTTGGTATCATTTATCTCTGTCTTTCTGTTACCCAAATATGGGCTTTCAAAACGACAAGCCAGCACCATCACACAGCAATCAATGAAGCACAGCCATAGACAATAAATCAATAGATCAGTGTAGACATATAGATTCTATAGCTTCAGATCTTCTATGGAAAATTATAAGAGGGGTTTTCAAATAAGTTCAAAGATATAAGAAGAAAGTAAACTGGAAGGCAGACGTGGTTCTGCACCAGACAGAATAATTATGTTTACGTTTCTGAGGGTGGCTTTGTAATTTCAAAGGATATCTTTGATATTTCACTTGGGTCAAGGGAATTCTATAGCTTGTGCACCAAGCCTCAAACAGTCTTTCAAACAGAGTATGTTCATGCTACACAGTGGACAAAATAAACATGTGACAACTGAAAGTCACCCATTGCGATTTTATAATCTGAACCTATATGTCAGTGTTTCACAACCTGGGGGTCGGGACCCCTGGGGGGGGGTCGCAAGAGGGTTTCAGAGGGGCCGCTAAAGACAATTGGAAAACACATATTTCTGATGGTCTTAGGAACCCCATTGGCACAGAAGGCTGAAGATCTCTCTGCCTGTCCGTCTCATCCTTTTTGAAAACAGTTGGTGAATCCTCCCACCAGAAGTCCTCCTCTGCTATGATTGGCCGGCCTCTCAGTCAGCCTCTCTGGTTCTGAGACTCCAAGCAGGGACGGGAGAGCAGGCATGCTCGGCACATGGAAACGTGGTGCGCATGTGCTAATGTGTGGGCAAGGGAGAGCATGTGGGGCTGGAGAGAGGCTCACCCAGCTAGTCCCTCTGAGGCATAGGGGTTCTGTGTGCCAAGTTTGGTTCAATTCCATTGTGGGTGGAGTTCAGAATGCTCTTTGATTGTAGATGAACTATAAATCCCATCAACTACAACTCCCAAATGTCAAGGTCTATTTTCCACAAACTCCACCAGTGTTCACATTTGGGCATATTGAGTAATCTTGCCAAGTTTGGTCCAGATCCAACATTGTTTGAGTCCACAGTGCTCTCTGGATGTAGGTGAACTACAACTCCAGAACTCAAGGTCAATGCCAACCAAACCCTTCCAGCATTTTCTGTTTAGTCATGGGAGTTCTGTGTACCAAGTTTGGTTCAATCCCATCATTGGTAGAGTTCAGAATGCTCTTTGATTGCAGATGAATTATAAATCCTAGCAACTACAATTCCCAAATGACAAAATCAACCCCCTAACCCCACTAGTATTATAATTTGGGTGTATGGGGTATTTGTGCCAAATTTGGTGAAGTGAATGAAAATACATCCCCCATATCAGATATTTACATTACGATTCATAACAGTAGCACAATTAAATTTATGAAGTAGCAACAAACATAATGTTATGGTGGGGGGGGGGGTCACCACAACAGGGTCGCGGCATTGGGAAGGTTGAGAAACACTGCTATAGGTCTTTAGCCACCATCACTCTGTAGTTTCATCTGAAGTGCTACCATTTTGACCATTATCTATGTACTTTGAAGTAAGCCTCATTGTCTCTTCATTGCAATGTATTTCCATATAAATGAGTTTAAGATAGCAGTTGGACAGCACATTCAGTTATTCTATTGTACATGCTACATAAACATGGATGGCATCTTGGAAATATCTTTGAGTACTGTTTCTCAGACTATCTGATGTGAAGCACCAACAATAATTTATCCCAAATGTGCCATGGACTAGAACCATATTTGTGTCCATTGGCCTCAACTGTTTTCTTCTTTCTTTGGAACCCAACATGGATCAAAGGTCAAAGACCCAGGGGTCAGCACTGGATCACAAACGGTTGGATCATCTGCCATTCATTTTTGTGGAGGCTCTTTCAGCCCAAGGGTCAAATTCAATGTCAGAGACGTTCTTGGGACACTACATACTAATAATGATAATTAAATAAAACTTTATTTATACCGGCCAACATCCCCCGAGGGATTTGGTGTGGCCCTCAAAGCACTCAGAGATGCAAATGCACAAAATACAACAAGTGAATAAACAATAAACAACCCAAAGGAAAAAGGATGGGATCAAAAGTCAGTTTATTTTAGCTTTACGATCCATCCTGCCAATAAAGTAAGCCTTAGGAGACGCATTTCTGATTTGCTTTAAAATATGCAAAAATTGGGGAACAATCAAACAAAGGTGTCACAAGAAGGTATGGCCCTCTACAGCAGTGTTTCTCAACCTTGCCGCAACGCCTTAATATAGTTCCCCATGTGGTGGTGACCCCCAACCATAAAATGATGTTCGTTGCTACTTCATAATTGTAATTTTGCTACTGTTATGAATTGTAATGTAAACATCTGGTATGAAGGATGTATTTTCATTCACTGGGCCAAATTTGGCATATATACCTAATACGCCCAAATTTGCATACTGGTGGGGTTGGGGATTGATTCTGACATTTGGGAGTTGTAGTTGCTGGCATTTATAGTTTACCTATAATCAAAGAGCATTCTGAACTCCACCAATGATAGAATTGAACCAAACTTGGCACACAGAACTCCCATGACCAACAGAAAATACTGGAAGGGTTTGGTGGGCATTGACCTTGAGTTTTGGAGTTGTAGTTCACCTACATCTAGAGAACACTGTGGACTCAAACAATGATGGATCTGGACCAAACTTGGCATAAATACTCAATATGCCCAAATGTGAACACTGGTGGAGTTTGGGGAAAATAGAATTGACATTTGGGAGTTGTAGTTGCTGGGATTTATAGTTCACCTACAATCAAGGAGCATTCTGAACCCCACCACGATAGAATTGGGCCAAACTTCCCACACAGAATCTCCATGACCAACAGAAAATACTGTGTTTTCTTATGGTCTTTGGCGACTCCTCTGACACCCCCACATGATGTCCCTCAGGTTGAGAAATGCTGGTCTAGGGTCAGAAATTGACCTCAAGATGGCTGGACTTGTAGGCTGAGGACAGGCATGTAGCTGAAGCCCCTCAAGCCCCGCCCCCCCCAAATTCTCATGGTGGTTCGCGAAAAGGCCTTACTGGTGCATTATTTAAACTGTTATGTTTATTCATATCATGATCTGATCACCATACTCAATATATCCCATATGCATGGGGGTATTGGGGTAACGATACAAAAAGTTTGCTAGGGTAGACCCTCTTTCACTCAGACTCAGCCCCCCCCCCAAATCCCCCCCCCCCCCCCCGAATCGAAATCCTGGCTACTGGCCTGGCTGAGGATAAAGAAATGTATTTAATAAATAAATAAATAAAAATATATCTATACTTGGAAAGCTGGTGTTAACATCAATGCTGCTACTATATGATAAAGAAATGTATTTAATAAATAAATAAATAAAAATATATCTATACTTGGAAAGCTGGTGTTAACATCAATGCTGCTACTATATGCCCAGAACTTCAATTATGTTACAGTTGAGCCTCCAAGTGATATTTTATTATACAACTTGTACCAAAAAGAAAACAGGATAGCCCCTTACCTGAAATGTATCTGTCATGTGCTAATGAAATTAAAGGCGCATTGGCTTTTCCTATATAAACTCCATCTTCAGTTTCATTATCATCAAAAACGTACAGACTCAAGGATTCAGCTTTCAGATAGCGGTCAAGGTCCACATTCATTGACACTGGGAAGCATGCGTGATCAGCAAATTGAGGTTGGTTGCTGCTAGGAATGATGGCGGTATCGTGGTCGGCGAAATCAAAGAACTTGTAGACAACATAAGGACTCGGCTGGAGGCCACTCATTCGGCACTTCAGACTGCTGCAGCATTTTATTGTTATGTGGAGCTCATTTAAGTTTCCATCTGTGGAAGGGCTGGACTGAACCGGACTGAGCACTGGCTGTTTCAACAAGAGACGGAAATACATCAGAAGAGAGCAAGACCAAGAACAAGCCACGAGAGTAAAGACAAAGATCCACCCAGAGGAAAAGTGTTCTTCCCATACATCAAGGGAACCACTGACCACATAGGGAAGCTGATGAAGAAACACAACTTACAAACAATCTACAGACCTACGAAGAAAATCCAACAAATGCTATGTTCAGCAAAGGACAAGAGGGATCCTCTCACCTTAGCAGATGTCTACCGTATGCCATGCAGCTGTGGACAAGTCTACATAAGAACCACAAAATGCAGCAGGGCCAGACATGAATCAAGGAACATGAAAGGCACTGTAGACTAATTCATCCAGAGAAGTCAGCCATAGAAGTGCACTTGATGAACAAGCCAATGACACAACATATTATTTTAGAACACAGAAGTGCTGGACCACTCTAACAATGACCATGTCAGACAACAACAACAACAACAACGATCTTTATTTATACCCGCGTGTTCCCGTTGTTAGCCCCAGCTTCTGCCAAGCTAGCAGTTTGAAAACATGCACATGTGCGCAGATCAATAGGTACTGCTCCTATGAGAAAGTAACGGCGCTCCATGCAGTCATGCTGGCCACATGACCTTGGAGGTGTCTACAGACAACACTGGTTCTTCGGCTTAGAAATTGAGATTATTACTATTTACTTCATTTATATACCGCTTTTCTCAGCCCTTGGCTGAGAGCATCAACCCTCAGAGTTGGACACAACTGGACTTAATGTCAGGGGAAAACCTTTATCTTTACCTCTAATATCCATAAACTTAATTAAGCACAATTAGAATTATTTGGCTTGCCTGGTCTTTTGTGTTCATTGTTATGTATCCCAGGGCTTTGGCTCGTTCTTTATACAATCGGATTGCTTGGTCCATGGGGACTTTTAACCTGGCCCAGTATTCCACTGTGCCATAGTTTTGGATCTCTCTTCCAACGCCTGAAAAGACAAACACATTGTACAAAAGCAGGGAGTCAACTCTTGATCCAGTTCTGAGAGATCCCATTCTCAATTCACTCAACAATCCAAAGGTGCTCAATGTAATTTACTCTGTTTTTTGGTAACAAGACACTCCATTAAAGTACAGAAAATCCAACCCTCCCTAGTAAAGTCTGGCAGCTACACTCATCTTTGGAAACCCAGATGAACTGTGAAGTAACCTCTGCAGAAGGAGAGCTGACAGCATACTATTTTATTGAGAGAGATGCTTAATAAAAATGGAAGACATCGAAGGGGAGGGGAGCTGGAGCTTTGAACAGATTGTCTAAAAAGATCACGATTTTGGCACAAAAGGAATAGGAACAGATCCTCTGGAATTGGACTGCACTATTAATGGGGAGGCTGAATGTGATTTATGATCTTTATTTCATCTCGGGCCTTAGGCTCTGTTCCTCAACAAGCAAGGAAAAAAGTTGGATCGGTCTTTACTCCAGTATTAGAAAGCACTCCTGCCTTCTTCTTAATGATGGTTTAGAAATGTGTAATTCAAAACAACATCTGAATATTCCCCGTCTAAAAAAACACAATGAAATTGAAGTCATCACCATAAGCCAACTGGAGACCTAAGTGCACGCCTTAGATGTAATGTGATGTCTGCACAGGCTCTCAGCATTGTTATGGGAATGCTTTCAGTGATGGATGAAGAGACTTATGGGCAAGTAGGAGAGAAGTCTTCTTAACATGCTCGTGTTACATCCCGAATAGACTACTGCAACGCACTCTACGTGGGGCTTAGTTTGAAGACTGCCCAGAAGCTTCAACTAGTCCAACGGTCAGCAGCCAGGTTGCTCACCCGAGTGATGTACAGGGAACATACAACTCCTTTGTTACGCCAACTCCACTGGCTACCAATCAGCTTCCAAGCACAATTCAAAGTGCTAGTTTTAACCTTTAAAGCCCTAAACGGTTCTGGCCCAGACTACCTGTCCGAACGTATCTCCTGCCATGTACCATCATGAAGTTTAAGATCCTCAGGAGAAGCCCTGCTTTCGATCCCATCACTATTGCAAACACGGTTTATGGGGACGAGAGACGGGGCCTTCTCAGCAGTAGCCCCCCGCCTATAGAACGTCCTCCCTAGAGATATCAGATTGGCCACCTCCCTCTTGTCTTTTAGAAGGAAAATCAAGACCTGGTTATGGGACCAAGCGTTTGATCACTGAGCAGCAAGTGGAAGAAGATCACACAACTTATGGCAAAAACTGGACTGGTTTTTGGATTTTAATTTTAATGGATGTGTCTTAATAAATTGTTTTAATTGTTGTTTCAATTTTTAATATTTTGATTGTACTGTGGTTGTTTTTATGATGGTAGCATCATATGACGCTTTTGTTAGGCTGCCCTAAAGTCCCTCTTCAGGGGGAGAAGGGCAGGGTATAAATATGGGAAATAAATGAATAAATAAAAATAGGCCTCAGTCTGAGAGAGCCCTCGGTGTGAGAAGGCCTCTGTGGGAGAAAGACCTCAGTGTGAGGTAGTCCTCATTGTATTAGTAGACCTCTGTTTGATGTGAGAAACTTCAGTGAGAGAAGCCCCAGTGAGAAGGCTGTTGTGTGTAAAAAAACTACTGTGTGAAGTTCCTGTGTAACTTCAGTATGAGAAGAGGCTTTGTGACAGCGAAGCTATTTATCTGTATGAGAAAGAAGCCTAGCATGGAAGCAAAGCAGGAAGTTTAAAGAACTTTGTGTGTGTTATGGAAACCTTTTCTTTTTGTAAATAGTGCAACCATATTATTTTACTATAAAGAAAAGCCTCCAAAGGAAGATATAAAATTAAAGATACAATATTAAAAAATAAGTAGGTATTTTTAATTACAAAAATATGAGTCAAGCACTGAAGATGTTGAATGAATGCCATGACTCAGCAGAAGCTGCGGTTCTATATAAGCAGGTGAGCCTGTAGCTTAGTAAGACTCTGTTAGTTTGCCTCAGAGGGAGAAACATCTCAGTCTGTGAGAAGGCCTCACAGTGTGATGTAGGCCTTAATCTGTGAGAGAAGCCTCGGTATGAGAAGGCCTCGTGAGTGAAGCTACAGTGTGACGATTAAACTTTATTTGTGTCATGGAAACCTTGTTCTTGTAGATAGTGCAACCATATTATTTTGCTATAAAGAAAAGCCTCCAATTGGAGATATAACACTGGCCTCTGTGTTTTTGTTCTTCTTATCACTTTTGGCTACTGGTGCTGGGTCATGCTGCTGCTAATAAATTAATCTGCTGTATATTTATTTGGGGGGGGGGGGKGTCTTTTGTTAATAAGCGCACTCTTCCAGCAATATCTACTTGCAAATTCATTCTATTGGGAATGCAAGGTCAAGTCTATACACTTCTCTTACCAATACCAATAGGAAATGGTTCAGCGATGTAAGTTTGGACTGTTAATTGGATTGATGTTTTCAATTAGGTTGCATATTATGTTATTCTTTTTTTTAAACTGTAGCTGTAGTTGCATAAGATATCTATAACTGGGAAATGATGACTATAATGGGCATTTGATATTTTCATAAGATTTACTGAAAGAAAACTTTGCCTGCGCATGGAATGTTCTAACACAAATATTGGCAAATATAATAAGCAGAGGCATCTGTTCATCTGTTTTTTAGATGACTCAGTAGTATTTTACAGTCTGCTGGCCCTAGATCTACCAATTTGGATGACAACCGTAAGGAATGTATCTATTTGGTTCGGGCCAATAATAACAGATAACTTTCTAAAGTAACACTAAAACAAATAGAGCATGGAAGATGGTAGTTCCTTCACTTGCCATTATACCAAGGGTGGGCATAATAATAATTTATTTTTAGACCGCCCTATCTCCCCAGAGGGACTCAGGATGGTTTACACACACAGAGACAAATATTCAGTGCCCAGCTTATAGCAAAATATTACAGCAGTAGATCAAACTGAGATCTACTAATACAATGAGGACTACCTCACACTGAGGTTTTTCTCCCACAGAGGCCTTCTCACACTGAGGGCTCTCTCAGACTGAAGCCTATTTTTATTTATTCATTTATTTCCTATATTATACTAATCAAATAAAATTAAATATCTAAATAAAGACACAGCACAGCTAATCAATACACAAATACAATTTAAAAGCATAGTCATCAATAATACATAGGGGCCAAAGGATAACTTCCTACCTCTAATGCAAGCCCAAATTACTGTTTTTGTAGTTCCTTCTCAAAATGGCAGCAGGAAGTGATGTCATGTCACATCTTGTCACCATTTTGAGAAAGACTGCAGAGGAAAACAGAGGGTAGTAGAATTAGAGTGCAAGTAGAGATGGAGATGGGCTTTCCCCCATGTTTTCAAGCATATGGTGATATTTCTGCATGGTCTGGGGCAAAACTTAATTGAAAATCAATTTATATTTTAAGAATTGGGGGGTTGGAGGAGTGGGTGGGTTTCAGAGGCTGCAAATTTGAACTCTATGGGGTACATGAACCCCATATGTTGCATTACATTATATAATGAGGCAAACTATTCTAATCCATGGACTAGTTTAAAGCACTGAGTAGGCATGCTCATTAATTTCTAATACATCTTCCTTGTCTCAACATGAAGAAATTCCAGTTCATCAAAAGTCCTAAATTGATGCTTGGTGCTATAATTTTTTAGGTTCTCGTACTTATAAACAGTATTGCAACAGACATGACCAAAACTCACCCACTAAAATGGCGGAACCGTAGATCCTCCCATTCTGTTCCAACATCTCATGGAATCTCAGCTGACAGGCAGCGGTTGTCTCAAAGTCCATGCCATAGGCGTGGTGGATCTCCAACGTCGCAGTGTTTTTCTGCAGATACTGCAAAAAGAAATCATCCATCCGTACAAGATACTGGGAGGTAAAGTTGTAGGTTGGGTTAAGGCCGCGGATGATGGGGGTTGTCTGAAGTTCGAAATCATAGAAGGCATAGGTACAGAACGTTGCAGGCTCCTGGTCCCCAAAGGATTTGGCTGCTTCGGCAGAAAAGATCACTCTGCCGATGTGGATTTCAAACAAGTTCTCTCCTCGCTCTAAATGGGTGGTTTCATTGAACTCATCAACAGGATCATCAGGCAGGATTTCTGGTCTGAACTTGTATTGCTTGGTACCATAAGCAATATCCTTCAGCTGGGCTACAAAGTAAAACAAAAAAAAAAAGATGTGCATGGGATTTAACTCATTGCAAACTCCCACAAATCTGATTATTCTAGATGTTATATGAAACTAGCTGTACCTGCCACGCATTGCTGTGGCCAACCTTCCCTCCCTCTTTCTCTCCTACCTTCCCTCTTTCCTTCCTTCCCTCTTTTTCTTTCCCCATTTCTCTTCTTTCTCCATCTCTACCTATTTCTTTCCCCCTCCCTTTCTTTGCTCTTTGGCTACATCCTTCCTTCTCTCCTTCCTTTCACTTTTTAATTTCCTTCTCTCCTTCCTTGCTTCTCTACCTTTCTTTCTTTCCTTCCTTCTTTCCCTCCTTCTCTCCTTCCTTCCCCCCTTCCCTCCTTCATTCCTTCCCTCTTTCTCTCGTTACTTCTTGACTGTCCCATTTAATATTGTATTTATATCTTACATAGAAAGAAGGAAAGGAAGAAGGAAGGAAGGAGGGACAGGAAGGAAGGAAAAAGAAAGGAAGGGAAGGAGGGAAAGAAGGGAAGGAAGGAAAAGAAAGAAGGAGGGACAGGAAGGAAGGAAGGAAGGAAGGAAGGAAGGAAGGAAGGAAGGAAGGAAGGAAGGAAGGGAAAGGAAGGAAAGAGAAGGAAGGAAGAAGGAAGGAAGGGAGGAAAGGAAGGAGGAGGATGAAGAAAGGAGGGAGGGAAGGAAATGAAGGGGAAGGAAATGAAGAAAGAGAAAGAAGGAGGAAAGAAAGGGAGGGAGGAAGGAAGGAAAAGAAGAAAAGGAAGGAAAGGAAGAAAGAAGGAGGGACAGGAAGGAAGGGAAGGAGGGAAAGAAGGAAAGGAAGGAGAAGGAAGGAAGAAAAGGAAAGAAAGGGAGGAAGTAGAGGGAGGAAAGAAGGGAAGGGAGTGAGGGAGAGAAGGAAGGTCCTTCAATCAAGCACCATTGACCTTCCTCGCCTCCTCCTCCTCCTCCCCTTCTTCCTTCCCTGCCACTCATCCACCCTTTCCTCTTCCAACGGGGAAAGGAGGAGGAGACTGCCCTCCTGACATAGCAGAGAAAGAGAAGGGGCTCCATGTGGCAAGCCTCCACCTCCACTCCCATGGTGCCCACTCTCGCTTGTGTGTGTGTGGCCATACACGAGCGGCTGGCTCCTCATGCTTTAACGGCCGGCTGTTTCCCTGCGAGGAGAAGAGGGAATGGGCATGGATCTCTTTCTGGGCATGCAGTTTCTCCTTTGTGGACATGCAGTTTAGAAGTCCTTTCTGCTTTTTGTTTTCGTTGTTTTTTGAGTGAAGGACATACATTGGCCTGATAGCTGTATTGTGTACAAATTTGGTGTCAACTCCCCCAGTGGTTTTTGAGTTCTGTTAATCCCACAAACGAACATTACATTTTTATTTATATAGATAGAATACAAAACAACAAAGATGGCTCCTGTTTCATAAATCTGAAGGAACCTCGGACATTTAGTTGATTACAAGACACTAGAAAAAGTACTAGGCCTCAGATATTGGATCTTGACCTTTTGCATAGAAAGCTGGTATGCTCTCCCTTGTGGCTATAACTATTCCAGTGGGATTGAGGAAATTATTCATTTCCCACAGCTCCTCATCATCTTGTCCAGTGGCCATGTTGTATACAAGACTCTGGGAACAAAACTTCAACTTTCTACCCTTCCCTAGCAGCTTATTTTTAAATACAACTAGCTTGGGCACACGGCATTACCTGGGTTATTTGCAAAGGGCAATTTTTTAATTGTACAAAATGCATAAGGTTGTGGGTGAACTACAGCTCACATCATGCCAAGTTAATCCCAAGAAACTCCCATCTGTATTTATGTTGGGCAAGTTTGCTCTAGATGCATTCATCTAGGGGTTCAGTGTGCTCTCTGGCTGTAGGGTAAACTACAACTCCCACTATGGTGAGTCAGCCCCCTCAAACCCCTCCAGTAGGCTGAGTTAGTCATGGGGGTTCTGTGTGGAAAGTTTCATCCAGGTCCATCATCGGTGGAGGTCACAGTTTCCCTGGCTGTGGGTGAACTACAACTCCCAGAAATGAAGATCAGTTCCCCCCAAACCCCTTCATCAATCCAATTTCAGCATATCAGGTATGGGTGCCAAGTTTGGCCCAGTTCCATCAGTGTTTGGGTTCACAGTGCTTTCTGGATGTAGGTGAACTACAACTCCCCCAATTCAAGGTGAATTTTCCCTGAAAGGCCTCCAGTATTTTTTGCTGGTCATGGGGGTTCTGTGTGCCAAGTTTGGTCCAATTCCATCTTTAATGGAGTTCAGAGTGCTCATTGATTGCAGGTGAACTATAAATTCCAGTACCTACAACTTCAAAATGTTCAGGCCAATTCTTCTCAAAGCCCACCAGTATTCAAAATTGGGACTGCCTTTGAAGACTGTTCAGAAGGTACAAATGGTCCAAAGGGTGGCAGCCAGATTGCTCACTAGAGCAGCATACAGGGAGCATTCAACCTCTCTGTTACGTCAATCTGCTACAGAGCACAATTCAAAGTGCTGGCTTTAGTCAATAAAGCTCTAAATGGTTCTGGCCCATCTTATCTGTCAGAATGTATCTCCCTCTATGCATCATGGAGTTTAAGATCATCTGGGGAGGCCCTACTCTCGGTCCCGCCTCCTTCGCAGGTGCGATTGGCGGAGATGAGAGACAGGGCCTTCTCAGTGGTGGCCCCTCAGCTGTGGAACTCCTTTCCCAGTAATGTTAAATCAGCCCCCTTTCTTCTGACATTCCGCAAGAGAATGAAAATGTGGTTTTGTGACCAAGCCTTTAGAGAACCTGTGCAATAGCTAGACTTGAAACAATGTGCAATGACCATTGGAACAGCCTGGATGACACTCATGGATTATGTATTTAACTTTTAATGTATTGTTTTAAAAATGTTTTAATTGTTTTAAAAAAATCTATTTTAATATTTATTTAAGTCTACATTGTGTTTTACGGCATCGAATTGCTGCCTGCAGGTAAAGCCGCCTTGACCCCTAAGGCGTGAGAAAAGCGGGGTAGAAATGTCGCAAATAAATAAATAATTAAAGATCTGGAAACTAATTGTTTCATCCTCTTTTATATATCTTTGTTCTCTGATCAGGTATAAGACAAAACTTTCTTCGTCTCCTGAAACTAGATGGCTGATCACCTTACCTTCCAATTTTCGGATACGCATGGCTCTAACGTCAAGAAGATGGACATACTGTTCCAGTTTTAATTCATAATCTTGCTGCAATGCCTCCATTTTATGTGTCACAGATTCAACCTCGACCTGAGAAATGTAAAGAAAGGTGGTAATCATCAAATTTTCAATGGACTGCCACATGAAAGAGGGAGCAAGTTTATTTTTTCCCCTTTGCTCCAAATGGTAAGATTTGAACCAATAGATGCAAATGAATCTATTCCATATACATCACATCTTGTTACAAATCATATGATCATCTAAGCACAATTTTTAGTTCTCTCTCTCCTGACTGGTTTGAAAAAAAAGTATTAAGAGTTGAGTCAGATTTTTTTTAAAAAAAGAACTTACTGCAAAATTCAAAATTGGTTGGACATCAGTTAATTATGATTAGTTACTGCATGAAATCTTATATTCATCCATCTTAATAATCAGATTGTACCCCATCCCCACAAAAAACAATACTAGCAGTCAACTGCACAATAAACGAATTAGCTACCTGATAATCTTTGTTAATTTTATGCTGTACAATTAACATATTGCGTGTCTTTTCAAGCTCTTGAACGGTTTCTGCGTGGGTTGCTTGGAGCTCACGCATGGAACGCTCCAAGTCCTTCTGGATGTCATCTTCTACTTTCTCCAAAAACGTGAGGTCTCCGTTTGTCTGCTGCCTACGAACCTAAACCGCAAAAGTTGACAGTGGACTAATTAGATTTTTTTTTTTGTCTTGAAAGTTTCATGTTTAATTGAAACAGATGGACTTCTCGCTTCCTAGCACTGAAATAAATCTGTGCTTGGACCCCAATCCTGCCAATTTCTCAATGCTTCACGGGAGACAATGAAAGCAACTAAGAACTACTTAATAATTGGATTTTACTGGTTGATGCAATACATCTTTATTCAGAAATATGTCCAAATGAGTTTGATTTGGTCATTTCAAGAAGAGTCGGCATATCACTAGTAACTAAGGGCTAGAAGCAGTGGTCATCTGCATGCTTACTATACTCAGTCAACTTTAAACCATGAATTTTAAATTTACATTCTATTACTATGGTATTTTAATCTTTGTATTATATATATGTTACAGCACTTGGTTTAATATATGTATTTTATTATATGTGTTTTATGTTTTGACTGTTGTGCTTCACCTCGAGCCATGAAGAGAGGCAGGTAACACATAAAATAATAATAATAATAATAATAATAATAATAATTATTATTATTATTACTATTATTAGAAACACAACAAGATGAGTCCACAGCAGACACTCTGCTGGCTGTTGTATTGGATCACACGTTGGACACTTCCCAAGTGTCTAAGACTGTGTCATGTATCAGTGAATAATGTGTGCAGATCCCAGTAAGGTGGCCTTCTGCAGCTGGCAGATGGTAATTCTGTCGGCGCTGATTGTGTTTAAGTGCAGGCCAAAGTCTTTAGGCACTGCATCCAGTGTGCTGATCACCACTGGGACTACCTTGACTGGGTTGAGCCAGAGTCTTTGCTGTTTGATCTTAAATCCTCATATCGTGTCAGCTTTTCCAGTTGTTTCTCTTCAATCCTGATGTCACCTGGGATTGTAACATCGACAATCCATACTTTGTTTTTTGACACGATTGTGAGGTCAGGAGTCTTGTGCTCCAAAACTCTGTCTGAATCCGGAAGTCCCAGAGTATCTTGGCGTGTTAATTCTCTGTAACCTTTTCTGTCTTGTGATCCCACCAGTTCTTTGTTGCAGGCAGATGGTAGTTGTGGCACAAGTTCCAATGAATCATCTGAGCAATGGTGTTATGCCTCTGCTTGTAGTCTGTCTGTGCAATCTTCTTGCAGCAGCTGAGGATGGGATCTATCATTTCATCTGCTTCCTTGCAGAGTCTACATTTGGGAATCTGTTGTCGACTTTTCAATTCTGGCTTTGATGGCCTTGGTTCTAATGGTTTGTTCTTGGGCTGCCAGAATCAGGCCCTCCGTCTCCTTTTTCAAAGGTCCATTTGTGAGTCATAGCCATGTTTTTTCTTTGTCAATTTGGCTCTCAATCTTTTCCAGGAACTGTCCATGGAGAGCCTTCTTTTGCCAGTTTTCTCTTGTGCTCTACATTGTGTTTTTACAGTATTCACTCTTTGTCTTTTGCATTTTAAGCAGTTTACTACTATTGACTTCCCTCAATGTTGGTTCTTGACTGCCTTTCACATAATCTGCCAGCGCATGTTTCCCTTCTTCTACCGTTTGTTTCACTTGCAGATGCCCTCTCTCTGCCTCCTGATTTTCTGGGCAGGTAAAGTCTGTCGACATCACTACGCGGGTGTAATGAGTAGTGGATGGTCATCAGTTTTCTTATTTTTCTGTCCAGATCATCCAGCTCTGCTTGTGTCCAGTTCACAATCCCAGCAGTGTATCTAATGACGCAGATGGCCCAGGTCTTCATAGCCTTGATTGTATTTCCGCCATTATTATTATTATTATTAGTAGAACTTACTCCCAGGTTATGGTACCATATATCATGGTAAACGTACACTGCGACCTGAACTAAAATGGAGGAGATCCCTGGCTTTAAAGGCAAATTTACTGGGAAAGTCCGATGGAATTCAACGGTATACAGGAAACTTGAACACACATAGACACATTATGTACATTGCAATTTTGTGTACATTTATTCAGAATTAAATATTGGTGTGTTTAGTGGGATTTATTTCTTAGGCAAGCATGTATAAAATTGTGTCTTTAGTGAACTTTCTCAGCCCGAGTTTCCATTTGCCATTTGCAACATTGACATAATAATAACTTGTTACAATGATATCTTAGAAGGATGTTGCAGTAACTACAAGATACTGTGAGAAATATTAAAAATAAATTAGATATTTTAATTACAAAAATGTGAGTCTAGTACTGAAAGGGTTAAACGAATGCAATGACTCAGCAAAAGATGCCATTCTATATAAGCAGATGTGCCTGTAGCTTTGTAGTCATCAGTCTGAGATAAACCTCGGTGGGAGAAAGGTCTCAGTCTGTGAGAAGGCCTCACAGTGTAAGGTAGGCCTTTGTCTGTGAGAGAAGCCTCGGTGTAAGAAGGCCTCAGTTTTAGTTCACCTCAGTCTCTGAGAGGTCTCTGTGGGAGAAGGGCCTCAGAGTGTTAGTAGGCCTCAGTATGAGAAGACCTCAGTATTAGTTCACCTCAGTCTGTGAGAAGTCTCTGTGAGAGAAAGGCCTCAGTGTGAGATAGGCCTCAGTGTTAGTAGGCCTCAGTTTGAGAAGACCTGGTGTCAGAAGCTTTGGTGAGAGGAAGCTCCAGTGTGTGAAGGCTGCTGTGTGAAGCTCCCGTGTAAGTTTGGTGTATCTGTATGAAAAAGAAGCCCAGCATGGAAGCAAAGAAGGAAGCATAATTTGTGTTATAGAAATCTTGTTCTTGTAAACACTGCAACTATATTATTTTACTACAAAGAAAAGTCTCCAAAGAAGATATAACATTGGTCTCTGTGTTTTTGTTCTTTTTTTCACTTTGGGCTACTGGTGCTGGGTCACGCTGCTACTACCAAGTTACTCTGCTGTACCTTTATGGGGAAGGTCTTTTATTAATAAGCCCAAGAGATACTATATGTAGACTGCTTTGGATATTGTAACCACTATAACTAAATATTATTTATGTATTATTAGGAGTATTCATAGAGTATTCTGGGTGTGCTATGTTAATGGAAGCCATGAGAAAAAGTACTATACAAAATTGAGATTTATCTATACTTTCTGAATAAAACTAGCAATGTTATCAGTAAGGGGTGGATGGGAATCTATTTAAGAATATAAGAAGTTTAGCCTTTTCTATGCCTTCTTTTTTCTTTCACATCACTGCAATTCTGTTGTAAACAGCAGAATTACAAACAAGGTGGAAGGTGGAAATGCATTTCCCCACATGGTGCTTTTATAAATAAACAAGTAGCCAATGTTAGGGTACAGGGAGGAGAGAAAATGCTTATGTTTCCAGAGTGTAACACTTTAGTTTGGCATTGGCTTTGACATCCTACAGAATTATTGTTATATCCTTCAGGATCTGTAAACAAAATTTTGTTTTGATCCGACCTGCAGCGGGACAATGTGAGAACAGGAAAGGCAACTGTTAGTGCTCTAAGCCAAAGACGGAAGGAAGGAAAATATCAAGCAAAACCATGTAAGCTTAAGGTTAATTCACTTTCAATGTTGCAATGAAATATGCAAGGAAACTGAAAAAGTTCTGCCCTGTCCTCTTTCAGTTTGCATTTTTCCATTTCCTACTGAAATGGAAGAGCAACGTTAACGGGTAGGTACAAGCAAGAAGCATTAGCTGGTGAAAGGAGCACGAGGGAAGGCTTTGTCGAAAAGCCAGGCCTTGTGAGTATAACATTTTATGAGGACCAGAGAGTTTGAAAAGGCGGCAGGCAACAGTTTCTGCTAAGTTACCTTGATAAGCATGAGAGCCTCGCTGAGTTCAGCCGCGTCGACGTCGCTCTCCTGAAACGGAGACAATCAACAGGAAGGCTTTGTTCAAGGGGAAAGAATGAATTATGGAGCGAGGCAGTGAGACTACACAATGCATTCACACCCGAACATGACATTTCGCTGGATTATCATGAATAAGTAAACTCTGTCATATCCCTGCATCCTTTAGCCTTTGCTTTTAAGAAAGGAGGATTTGCATACAATATGGAAACCTCCCCCCCCCCCCAAACAATCCCTACCTCTGTCCTTTTTCGAAGGAGACGGAGAAGATGAAGAATAGAAAGTTCACCTTGGTGAAGAACTTCATGCGGTTCTTCATTTCGTCCAGCTGTTGCTTCTGCTCCAGGTACTGCAAACGCAGCTCTTGGTTTTCCTGGGCCAGTTTTTCATTTTGGTCTCCAGAAGGAAAGACAAAAAGACAGATCTTAGTAGAAACCAACAGGAACTTATTTATTTATTATTTATTTACAGGATTTATATTCCACCCTTCTCACCCCGCAGGGGACTCAGGGCAGATTACAATGTACCATATATACTCGAGTATAAGCCGACCCGAATCTAAGCCGAGACACCTAATTTGACCTCAAAAAACTAGGAAAACGTATTGACTCGACTATAAGCCGAGGGTGGGAAATGCAGCCACGAATGGTAAATTTCAAAATAAAAATAGATACCAATAAAATTACATTAATTGAGGCATCGGGAGGTAAAATGTTTTCAATATTTACATAAAGCTGTAATTTAAAATAAGACTTTCCAATTCTGATTAAACCATCATTCTAACCTTCTTCAATGTAAATGTACTTACGTATCCTTCCAATAATAATAACAGAGTAAAATAATAAATGTAATAATAAAAATAACAATAGAGTAAAATAATAAATATAATAAGAACACTAAGTAGAGTAAAATAATAAATGTAATAATAGAGTAAAATAATAAATATAATAACAATACTGAGTAAAATAATAAATGTAATAAGGGAGTAAAATAATAAATATAATAACAATAACAATAGAGCATAATAATAATAAATAGAGTAAAATAATAAATGTAATAAAATAATAATAGAGTAAAATAGTGTAATAATAATAATAATAAATCTAATAAAAATAATACTAATTACAGGGTAAAAGAATAAATAATCTTGACTCGAGTATAAGCCGAGGGGAGCTTTTTCATCCTAAAAAAGGGGCTGAAAAACTAGGCTTATACTTGAGTATATACAGTAATTTGACATTTCATCTAATATAATAATAATAAACTTTATTTATACCCCGCCACCATCTCCCCTACGGGGACTCGGGGCAGCTTACATGAGGCCAAGCCCAAACAACAAATTACAATACAAAAAATACAAATTGCAGTAAAATAAACAACATAACATTAAAGTATAAAACATCAAAGCATATAAACAATATACACAGAACATAGAAACCAAACATAATGACAGAGGGCAGGCCACATGTACATAAAATGATTTAAAAACTCAGGGTGAGATAAGGGGGCAGAACTAATTGTAAGGGAGAACTCATAGAGAGACAGGGAAATAAACAAACCTTCGTACAAGGGCGGGGGGGGGGGGACTCCTGGGACAAGAACGTTGAGGGAGCAATAGCATAAGGTTATGTGACTACTCTCTGAAAGCACAACGGCAGAGCCAGGTCTTGAGACACTTTTTAAAGGTTTCTAAAGTAGAGGCGTTACTAATCTCTCCAGGCAATGAGTTCCAGAGATGAGGGGCCACAGAGGAAAAGGCCCTCTCCCTTGTACCCACAAGGCAAGCCTGAGAAACTGGCAAGGGCGAAAGGAGGGCCTCCCCCGAAGATCGAAGAGTTTGGCCTGGTTCATGGAGAGAGATATGGTCACGAAGGTAGGCGGGTACATATACATGGCAACATTCAATGCCATAGACACACAACACATATAGACAAACAGTCAGAGGCTATTTAACATTCCAACTTTTTCTAGCCACCAGGGGAGCTGTCGCTTCACTGTCCATCTGCGACACCGATGAAGTACTTCCTCATTCCCCGCATGCTTGCTGGAGATTTTTATGGCCTCGTAAATTAGTTAAATTAGCCTCCCCACATAAGTGGTACCTAAATTTCCTACTTGACAGATGCAACTGTCTTTCGGGCTGCAAAGGTTGATGACAAGCTACACAGAATTGGTCGGAAGCTCACTCCGACCCGGGCTTCGAATTCATGACCATTCGGTCAGAAGTGATCTTAATGCAGCTGACTCCCAGCCAGCTACGCTACAGACCTGGTGAGACAAAGCCCAACTTGAGACAAAGCCCAAGTAAAGCCTACTCTGCTCTTCCACTGTACCATTCCTACACACATTTACTGCAAATACAGTTATCAAGCACCTTGGAAGTGGTAGGGCTGCACAAGATTTCACTATTCTACCTGAGTGGGAACCGATCTCTGGCAATGAGGTAAAGTTATTAATTGCATCTTTGAAATCTAGGAAAGTCCCTGGAGAAGACATTATTCCTCCAAAACTCTTCAAGAAAACGCTGAATGGTAGAGACTATTTCTTGCTAGCCTATTTCCCAGGATAAACAGCACAGAATAAATGCCATGTGGGTGGAAAATGAGCATTGTATTTCCTATCTATAAGAAAGGTGGTAGGAATGACCCTCAATTAGCTCGGTCAACATCACATCAAAGCAAAATAATAATAATAATAATAATTAATAATAATAATAATAATAATTATTATTAATACTCCGCCATCATCTCCCCAAAGGGGACTCAGGGCGGCTAACATGAGGCCACGCCCAAAGATACAATACAACAAAATAAAATGCAAAAAACAGACAACAAAAATTACATCAGAATAAAATACATACAATAGCAAAGTAAAATAAATAAAGCAAATTGACATAGCATGAAATCAGACACAATGGGCAGGCCAAATGGACGAGGTAAAATGATGAAACCCTGGATGAGATAGGAATAATAAAAAGTGTAATTGGGAGGAGCCCAAAAAAGGATGACCAGTGGGGTTAGGCTTTCTGTTTAGGAAGGGGGAAAGTGTATCATAGGGGCAGCACGGTAGATAGAACAAACAGAAAGGGGATAAGTGGTCACTCTTCAAAGGCACATCAGAAGAGCCAAGTTTTCAAATTTTTCTGGAATATGTTCAACACCACTTATCTAATGTTTTCAGATTCAAATAAGAAGTTTCAATATTTACTGTTTTTTAATTTAATTTTAAATGTATATCCACATACTAATATTTACTTGTTTTTTAAAAAAGTATTTGTTTTGTTTTAAATTGTCATTAAATTGTGTGTTTGTTGGCTGCCTTGAGTCCAACAAGGACAAAGGTGGGGTATAAATAAAGTTAACATCACTACTACTAAAGTAAAGGTAAAGGTTTCTGTTACAGTAAGTTGTAGCAAGATCAAGTGTGTGTTAAAGAAAATCCTTATGATGTTAATTATTATGTACAGCTGGTAATGTAGGTCAGCCAGCATGTTTGGGCTATACCCGGTGGGGTATAACTGTATGGATTTTAGAATACAGTTTGGAGAAGCAATACGCTACTCTGAGGAGGAGAAGCAATATGCTGTAATGCTGCTATGTGCCAACAGCAATGCTCTTTGCTATGGTGGAATAGCTATTTACTCAAGGTTTATGTTTTGCTCTCTCATTTGAATGAAGATGAAGAAGCCTTATTCTGTGTTACTTACAAGGACTATGTAAGTTTGTTGCACTGTTTGATTTTGTATGCAACATTGCAAGTTTATGCCTCTGCTGATAAGAGTAAAGTTTTTCTGTTCCTTTTTCTTCTTGCCTGTGTGTCTTTTGCATGGGACTTGGCAACACCTAAGACCATCAGAAAAGTATGTATTGACATTAAGTCTAGTTGTGTCCAACTCTGGGGGGTGGTGCTCATCTCCATTTCTAAGCCGAAGAGCCAGCGTTGTCCATAGACACCTCCAAGGTCATGTGGCCAGCATGACCGCATGGAGCGCCATTACCTTCCCGCCGGAGCGGTACCTATCTACTCTCATTTGCATGTTTTCGAACTACTAGTTTGGCAGAAGCTGGGCCTAACAATGGGAGCTCACCCTGCTCCCGAGATTTGAACTGCTGACCATTTGGTCAGCAGATTCAGCAGCTCAGTGGTTTAACCCACTGCACCACCAGGGGGGCCACTGCTACTGCTGCCACTACTACTACTATTACTACTTATAATAATAATGATATTCTAATAATCAACACCTCGCTGTTGGCTTTCATTATTCTTCGTCATGGGGGTGTCTCAAAATTCAGCCCTTCAGAGCCAGTTTGGGGGATGCACAAAGGCTGCCTTGAGGATAGAGAGATCAATTTTCAAGGCAAGAGACATCTTTATACATACACTGTCAATTCAGTCTGCATATATTAGTTTAAGCCACTAGCCTTTGCACTAGCATAAAATACAAGGGTTTATTTTAGCATTTAGGAGACAATAACATTGATGCCTATAGGATCTTTTAGGGCTTCTTCTGTCTGTCTTTAGGGCATAGGTTTCAGTTCCTTTTCCTCCCTTGGCTCCCACTTTTTCTAGAGTAATTGAACACAGAGAGAAGCTTGGTGCCCTAGACATAAATATTTTAATGTTTCAGAGCCATATTGTTCAATGTTATCATAGATATAATGTGTATCTCTATGTATGTATGGAATTCTGTAAAGATTATGATTTTTTTTGGTTTGCATATAACTTGGGCCATGATCTACAATTTAATTTAAGCAAGGACCATGAAAGCTTTTTAAGATGACTCTTTGTCCATATCAATTACGGCACAAACCTTTGGGCTGATCCATTCTTTTTGGGTGAAAAACAAAGGATTTACACTCCAGCACAAATAAGGCAAGACGGATAAAGTTGTTTCATTAAGTTTTTGGATCCTTAATCTGATGTTCGTAGAAACAATCTTAGACATATAGACCCAAATCCCATTGTTAGTGCCAACTAGAGTAGACCAGTGGAATTAACAGATCCTAGATGTTCATTTACCAAGCTCTCAATGATTTAATGGGTTTATTCCTGCTCGAACTAGCAACGTATTTCAGAAGTCTTGTGTGAAACTAGACTAATGGATCTATACAGCTACTTGTGTAACTTGATCAAGATTGTGCATTGTGAGCATGCAGCAATCTTCTCCTGCTACTATACACAAACAGGGAACTTAAGAAAACAAAGATTATGATAATCGCTTGCTAAAACAAACAGCTGTCAAAACCCGCTCATGCTAGTCCCATCATCTGTAATCAATATGCATAGGGTGCTGACCTACGCATTCATGCTAAAAAGACAAACAAAATAAAGATTCTTAAACCTGCAATTAATTTAAACATTAAACTGCATTTAAACTTTCCTAACCAAAAGAATGACAAAACCTGAAACTAATCTGCTCATTGAGCTGGGAGTGGAAGGCAAAGGATGGAGAGAGGGCGAAGGGGAGCAAAGCAAAGAGCCAAAGTGGTTTGGCATTATCGAAACCAGTGTTTCTCAACCTGAGGGTTGGGACCTCTAGGGGGGTTGTGGGGGGGGGGGGGGGGGGGGGGTGTCAGAGGGGTCGCCAAGATCACCAGAAAACACAGTATTTTTTGTTGGTCATTGGGGTTCTCTGTGGGAAGTCTGGCCCAATTCTGTCGTTGGTCAGGTTAGGAATGCTCTTTGATTGTAGGTGAACTATAAATCCCAGCAACCCCAAGTGTGAAGGTCTATTTCCCCCAAACCCTACCAGTGTTCACAATTGGGCATATTGAGTATCCATGCCAAGTTTGGTCCAGATCCATCATTATTTGAGTCCACAGTGCTTTCTGGATATAAGTGAACTACAACTCCAAAAATCAAGGTCAATGCCACCAAATCCTTCCAGTATTTTCCATTGGTCATGGGAGTTCTGTGTGCCAAGTTTAGTTCAATTCCATCATTGGTGGAGTTCAGAATGCTCTTTGGTTGTAGGTAAACTATAAATCTCAGCAACTACAACTCCCAAATGAAAAAAAAAAACAATCCCCCCTAACCCCACCTGTATTTGGTATTTGTGCTAAATTTGGTTCAGTGAATGAAAATACATCCTGCATTTCAGATATTTACATGACGATTCATAACAGTAGAAAAATTACAGTTATGAAGTAACAACAAAAATAATTTTATGGTTGGGGGGTCACCACAGCATGAGGAACTGGGGAAAGGGTCATGGCATTATGAAGGTTGAGAACCACTGATCTAAACGAACATGTGGCGTTTTCAAATGGCTAAACCGATAGGATAGAAAAGAGACAGGAGGAACTCTCCTCAATTGTTAATCAGCTCAATGAGAAGACTAGTCCACTTTTTTGAATCTTGAAATACCACTGTGCCAGAGAGAAAGGTAGCTCTTACCGCTGACAATACTGTGAAAGGGTTTCTTAGTTTGTTTGTTTGCTGGGTATAGAGAACCTTTTAATCATGGCAGCTCCCACCTAAAGTAGTATATTTTTCACTTGCTTTTCAGTTTGGAAAAATATCCAAGTTCTGCGACCGTGGGTCTACCTTAATTGGTTTTGGACATGGCAACCAACTAAACTTCAGCTCCAAATCATTCCCCTGCTTGTCTAAACCACAAAAGGTGAGAGGGAGAATCCTGTAAAACTCTAAGAAGCCCAAGGCAGCACAGTTTATGATGAGGCATGCCAGGCGCTGCGTATCACAATGTCCATAGGCCAACATGGTTCCATAGGGATGGACAAAATAGGAAGGAAGAGGTCTCCTACTCAAAATTGGACATTCTGACTAAGGGTGCACCTATACAATAAAAAGTAATGCAGTTTGACACCATTTTAACTGACATGGCTCAATATTTCAAAATCATAGGAGCTGTGATTTTTATAAAATCTTTACCTTTCTCTGCTAAAGAGTGCTGATGTCTCTCCAAGCTACAACTCCCACCATTCCATAGTACTGAGCCACGGCAATTAAAATGATGTCAAAGCATTACTTTTCCAGCGTAGATGCACCTTGTGTCTCTGGAAATCCGCTGATGGACAGGTATGTCAGAAATATTAAATATTAAATAGCTATTTTTAATTACAAAAATGTGAGTCAAGCACTGAAAGGTTTAAATGGATGTAACGACTCAGCAAAAGCTGCAGTTCTATATAAGCAGGCGTGCCTGTAGCTTAGTAGGCCTTTGTGTAAATTTGCCTCAGTAGGAGAAAGGTCTCAGTCTGTGAGAAGGCCTCGCAGCGTCAGGTAGGCCTCAGTCTGTGAGAGAAGCCTCTGTTTGAGCTAGGCCTCAGTCTGTGAGAAAAGCCTCTGTGTGAGGTAGGCCAGTTCTATATAAGCAGGTGTGCCTGTAGCTTAGTAGGCCTCTGTGTTAGTTTGGCTTAGTAGGAGAAAGGTCTCAGTCTGTGAGAAGGCCTCGCAGCGTGAGGTAGGCCTCAGTCTGTGAGAGAAGCCTCTGTGTGAGGTAGGCCAGTTCTATATAAGCAGGCATGCCTGTAGCTTAGCAGGCCTCTCTGTTAGTTTGGCTTAGTAGGAGAAAGGTCTCAGTCTGTGAGAAGGCCTCGCAGCATCAGGTAGGCCTCAGTCTGTGAGAGAAGCCTCTGTGTGAGGTAGGCCAGTTCTATATAAGCAGGTGTGCCTGTAGCTTAGTAGGCCTCTCTGTTTGCGTTAGTGGGAGAAAGGTCTCAGTCTGTGAGAAGGCCTCACCTCGTGAGGTAGGCCTCAGTCTGTGAGAGAAGCCTTTGTGTGAGGTAGGCCTTAGTTTGTGTGGTATGCTTCGGTATGAGAACGCCTCGTGTGTAAAGCTCCAGTGTGAAGGTTGAACTTTATTTGTGCCATGGAAACCTTGTTCTTGTAAATATTGCAGCCATATTATTTTGTTATAATGAAATGCCTCCTAAGGAAGATATAACATTGCTCTGTGTGTTTTTGTTCTTTTTATCACTTTAGGCTACTGGTGATGCTGCTGATAAGTTACTATGCTGTGCATATATGAGGAGGGTCTTTGTTAATAAGCCAACTCACCCAACAAGGTACACAATACTTCCATAAATAGGACAGAAAATCTAACCTGGTACAAGGGAGATTCCTATGTTGTTGGATATACAACCTTACCAAGTTGGGGGAAAAATAACCATTCATGTGCACATCACACCCTAAGCTTCCTTTCCTGCAATATACCTCGTTCCACTTTTATTCTGTCCAGGATGTTATTTTTATCTACCAAATCGGACTTTAAGGCAGCCTCGAGCTGAGCAATCTCCACCTTCAGCTGCTGCTCCTTCAGCTTCCATTTCTGGTCATGGGTCACACCGAAGGCACTGAGGGATAAAAAGAAGGAAAATAAGCCAAGCATCAAAGACAAAAGAAAGAGATCCACAAATGGCGTGTGAAGAACGCTCAGCAATTGACCCCAACAGCAAATAATGAGAAAGGGAGGTGGGCTGGAAGGAGGAAAGCCATTTTAGCGGCCGAGATCATTGTCATCATGTCTTAGGAATTAAGCAAACACATGCTGGTCTGCTGCTGTTGAAACGGAGGCGCCTTTCTGAGGCTGCGGTCATGGAAGATGAAAGGGTTTGTGGGATGAGCAACAGGGCTGGCCTCAATTTAGAGCCAGAGGAGCTGGCAGACTCCAAACACTGGTGGGGGCTCGGGGAGGAATTCAGAGCTCGATTCCAGAGGAATCCGCCACTCAAAACCTCAGCAACAGACTACTGACAGAACCATCTTTTCCGCAGAGGACCGTCTCCATGTACAAGAGATTTGATTTCCCACCTGATCTGGTTTTTAAAGTGGGAGGGAAGGGAGCACGCCCGAGGCCAGTTGCCTGTCCAAAGGAACATCGGCCACAAAGGAACGGCCATTCTCCGATCACAAAATGGGTCTTCTGTAATGTATTAAAAAGCCTTTGTACTCTTAAGCCAACTTTATAGCCTTAAACCAAAAGATCTGTGTTGTTAACATGGCCAAGAAGGCAACAGCACGGCTCTTGAAGACCACGAAAAGGAGGAGGGGAAAATATGGCCCAGAAAATACAAGATTCAGAACTTGAAAACCAGCATGGATGTTTAAAACTACATTTTTTGCATCCAAATGTCTTGTGTGTTATGAGTTTCTGTGTGTGTGAGCTCCCTCTGTAAGCTCTGGCTCCCCATGTGAGAACATGAGAGAAGCCTCCCACAAGGACGGTAAAACATCAAAAAACATCCTGCCGTCCCCTGGGCAACGTCCTTGCAGATGGCCAATTCTCTCACACCAGAAGCGACTTGCAGTTTCTCAAGCTGCTCCTGACACGGAAAAAAAACCTCCACAATGAATTTCAGAAGTTATATAAGAGTCCATACTATTATTGAATGCAGATGTCGGAAGCTATAGAACAAATAAAGAAATCAGATTTTTAGATGTTAGTTCATTGCTACAAAGCCTTTGAGTTGATTATATATAGCCTAAGCCCACAGTATTTGATTGACCGCATCTCCTTGTGTGAACTTGCTCTTGTCTTAAGTTTCTTGGAAAACACTTTGTCTCACTCCCAAGTCCATCACAGGTATATTTTGTGAAGGCATTGGTTTGTTTGCCGAAAGCTTCTCAGTTATTTGTAAAGTCAATTAAAAACACACACAGTTTTTGTGAAACTTCCATAACAAGGCCTTTGAAGGTGATTTTTACTGACCACAGGTGATCAAGTGAGTGGCCAAGTACATATCTGGTTCAATGCCATGCCGTAATTCCCTGCCTGTTCTTATGCAATTGCTTATAGATCATCCTTAACTGCTTGGCCTGTGATCTTATCCTTGAAGAACTGACCATGCTCTGCCTTTTGGCATCGTATCGGCAAAACTGCATTAATACTCATGACCTGGAAAGCATGGGACATTCCAGCCATGATCTGGACAGACAACATGTTCTTTCTCATTTCCCGTTTCCCAGATCTATTAAATGGGAGTAACAACAAACACCTGGAAATAGCTTTTGTAAGAATGATTTGAAAAAGCTGCAACTGGGATGAGTCTCAAAATGGGTAGGAAGATAAGTTTCAACTTCTTGAGGTGCAGAGTTGTGTGGTAAGTGTTGGAGTTCAGCCTATGATTGTGTTTGAGGATCAGAGTGCTTTGGATGTGAGGAATGATGTAAATGAGGTTCAAGATGGCAATGGTTTGGTCAGTGATATTGATGCAGAGAATGACAGAGAGGCACCTGTTTCAAGTGTAGTTTCCAATGAGAATGTTCCTACACAGGGTATAGGGATGATGGTTTACTCCCTGAATTGCTCCCAGAGAGTTCCCAGGATTTGGGGCCTGAAAACAACTTGGCACTTGCAGGGACTAATGAGCGTATAGACAGGCGGGTCGAAATTAGTCAAAACGGACAGTTCGACCAAGGCCTTCAGGGTTCTGCCAGGCTTTGACAGATAAGGATGAGAGGCATTCAGGGAAAATGAAACTAATTTCTGAGTGCTTGTAATGGCTTAATGTGAGGATATAAAGTTCCACGCATGGGAAAAATAGTCAGATGAAGCATCATTTTAGAATCCTGCTAAGTTCTTGCTCTTGTGATGGCAGCCATGCTTGAAAAAATCATGTTTAAGGATTTCTTGCTGAATGGTTTGACCCATTGTCTCTGGTGATTACCTATTCATGCCTTGGATCAACGTTTCCCTGTTTCTTTGGATTTTATTAGAGAAGTCTGGACTTTGTTTTTGAACTTTGCTGAACCATACCTTGGACTAATTTGTTCCTGCTTATCTTCTTACCTAATTGAATTTACCTATTCCCTTAAAGTGCTTTTTCTACTTTACTGCTTTTATTTATTTTCAATAAAAAAGGATTGTTTTCCTACTCAATGTGTGGTGTTTTGAAGTCAGAGGGATACTCCTGTTCAGGAGTGCAACAGTATGATCACATCTATGGTGTGTATTTTATGTCTGTTGCTGTTGTATGCTTTCAAGTCCTTACTGATTTATGGGACCTTTGGAAGCCAAAGGGCACGACTTGCCTACAGTCACCCAGTGGGTTTCCACGGCCAAGTGAAAAATCAAACTCTAGTTTCCAAAGTCAAAGTCCAGTGCTCAAACCAATACACCACACTGGCTCCTAAATTAACTTACACATTGTTTTCAGTTGCTGAATAAGTTCATTGAGTTCAGTTTTAACAGCCCTGTATACATTTCCAACCTTGGAATCTGTCCTTCGTTAAAACTCGGAAGAGCCTACAACTCCACTTTCTCCAAATCCACATAATGCTAACTTTAAAGGAATACAAGATCATTCCAAAAATCAATATGCAGTTATCATCTCCTTTACATTTAGGACTGGATTCCCCTGGAATGTCTTTGGAGTTCATTTAGAAAAAAAATATCCTGCTACATTTTGAAAACCATCTGGGTTTACAGAAGGGCTGGTTAGGCAGCAGATGGTACGCAGGAGGACCGGATCAGTATTAGAGGGTCAAAGGAAAGCAAAGGCTAGCAACTCGCATTCCTAAGGGAAACTGGCCTCTTGGATTTCCACAATCATCTGATCAGAACACCAAAATTATTATTGATTGTGAAATACTAGTTGAGCTAGACATACCGTTGATGTTTGGATAAGAATGTATTATTTTGGGGTTTTGATTTTGTTTGACGATACCTGAAGGAGGGTACTGACCACCAATAGCAAAAAATGCGCATATATGGTCGTTTGTTTACTTATTTAAAATTAAAATAAGCTTAATGTGTCTTGGCCTCTATCAAAGCTGATCTTCTTTGGGGATTACACTAATAAATAAAAATAAAATTCCATTATATTGTGTTGTCCTTTACAATATGTAGCACAAGCCCTTTCATCACCATATTGGCAACCCTGTGTGAAAATTAAGCTTTTTTCCAGGAGCGCACAATAATATGTTGGCGTGGTTCCTGCTGCAAATACTACAGCAATTTGATCTTTGTGAACTCTTACACAAAATGTCTGGATCTGCAGCTCTTAGGCCCTTTCCACACCGCTGAATAAAATCCCGCATTTTCTGCTTTGAACTGGAATATATGGCAGTGTGGACTCAGATAACCCAATTCAAAGCGGAGATAGTATATTCTGTCTTGATATTCTGGGTTATATCTGTGTGGAAGGGCCCTGAAACGAATGGGTGGATTGAACAAAGGTATCTGATAGATTTCACTTCCCCTCTCAATATTCTTGTCAATTTAAAGATAGATAAATGTTCATTTAAATATTTTGCAGAGAAAATGGGAATTTAAATACTGATGTTGAATGGCTCAAGATGGCAGGCTCATGCAGCAACAGGACAGAATGGAATTTGGGGGGGGGGGGATTGACAAAAGTCAGAAGGAAAGACTAGCTCACTGATAAAGAGAGTAGCGAGGAATGGGAATGACACCCTTATGAAACTCCATAGGATCTCTATATTCAACTTAGATTTCAGATAAACCAACGGTAAGCTTTCTATACCTCTAAGGCAGTGGTTTCCAACCTGTGGTCCGTGGACCACCAGTGGTCTGCAAGAATGAAAATACGGTCCATGGCCTCATCATTACTACACGGTTGCCTCGAAACCACGTAGCAATGAGAGTGACTGGTCTTGCAAAACACTCTTATAGTGCGAGGCAATTTGGATGTTGGAGGGGAGATGCTGACTACTCATGAAAGATTACTACTACCACATCAGCTCTAGATTATTAAATATGGGCTTCTGTGGGTGAGCAGATGGCGCCTACAGTGGCATATTGTTGTTTATTCATTCAGTCGCTTCTGACTCTTTGTGACCTCCTGGACCAACTCACGCCAGAGCTCCCTGTTGGCCGTCACCACCCACAGCTCTTTCAGAGTCAAGCCAGTCACTTCAAGGATACCATCCATCCATCTTGCCCTTGGTCGGCCCCCTTCTCTTTTTCCTTCCATTTCCCCAGCATCATTGTCTTCTCTAAGCTTTCCTTTCTTCTCATGATGTGGCCAAAATACTTCATCTTTGCCTCTACTATCCTTCCCTCCAATGAGCAGTCAGGCTTTATTTCCTGAAGTATGGACTGGTTGGATCTTCTGGCGGTCCAAGGCACTCTCAGAACTTTCCTCCAACACCACAGTTCAAAAGCATCTATCTTCCTTCGCTCAGCCTTCCCTAGCAGTTTGAAAACATGCAAAGGTGAGTAGAGAAATACCATTGCTTTAACTATGTGGATCTTCATTGCCAGTGTGATGTCTACTCTTCACTATTTTATTGAGATTGTTCATTGCTCTCCTCCCAAGAAGCAAACGTCTTCTGATTTCCTGGCTGCAGTCTGCATCTGCAGTAATCTTTGCACCTACTAATACAAAGTCTGTCACTACCTCCAGATTTTCTCCCTCTATTTGCCAGTTGTCAATTGCTCCGGTTGCCAGAAACCTGTTTTTTTTTTATGTTTAACTGCAACTCAGCTTTTGTACTTTCTTCTTTCACCTTGATTAGAAGGCTCCTCAGCTCCTCCTCACTTTCAGCCATCAAAGTGGTATCAAGCAGATGGTGACTACTGGATGGCATATGTTCTTATCAGAAACTAGAGCTGATGTGGTCTATCCAATGCAATTTTCTGAATCGGCACCCAAATAACCAAACTAAATCTAAAGTTGACCAAAAACTGATTTGTAACCCTTTTGGTACTACTGTTGGAGAGTGGTCCCTGGTCAAAGTGATCCCTGTTCAAGTGGTCCCTGTCAAGTGATCCCTGGTCAAAAAAAGGTTGAGATCCACTGCTCTAAGGAAAAATATTGTCACCCTTTTGTTCCTTGCAAATGGGTTCAGTCTGGGCCTGATTCTCCCTTTGGAGTTCATACAAGTTACTGCTTGGGTTGTTGTAGGTTTTTTGGTCTATATGAGCCATGATCTAGAAGCATTTTCTCTCCTGACATTTCGCCTGCATCTCAGAGGTTGTGAGGTAGTCCTCAGAGGTTGTGAGGTAGTCACAGCTGACCTCACTACCTCTGAGGATGCTTGCCATAGATGCAGGCAAAACGTCAGGAGAGAATGCTTCTAGAACATGGCCATATAGCCCAAAAAAACCTACAACAACCAAGTGATTCCAGCCATGAAAGCCTTCGACAATACATAGTTAGTTACTACTTGAATTGTAGTTTTTTAAATTCCTTCAAACACACTCCCCTAAAACTTTAGCATTCAAAATATTTCAAGCCTGCCATAAAATGAAAAGTTTAAGTCTTCTTCTCTTTTGAAGAAGAGCTCAATTTGTATCTCCTATAACTGGAGGGGGTCTCCTCCCATCCCCTTCTGCTTCATTATCAGGTGTTTCCTCATTAAAGCCTCTGCAAATTGACTGTAATTGCTTCAATTTTCTGTTCGGCACCAGAAAATGAATTCAGCGCCCGATCTCGTTTCATGTTCAGTAGGTTTAGCCTCCTAATTTTTTATTTATGTGATATTAAGCACTGCTGACAGAATTTACACAGGCTATTACCTCGGAGCGACTTTACATAAATATCAAGTGTAGCCACAGCTCTGGCCTTAGGCAATTTGGCACCTCAAAAGTCAAAATGACGCCCAGTGCAGCTCCAGACTTGAGTCCATTTTACTTTTTCCCTCTCTCTTTTTTTAAGGAGACTGAGGTTGTAAACTGAAGGCAAAGATATAGCATCCAGTGCTTTGATGCGGTCTTCTTTGTGAAACAGACAACCTGGTAGTAACAGTGTAAATGGAAATAAGAAGTCCTAAAAAGGATGGCATTTCCAATGGCTGGGGAAAGGCTCTTCATACCAAGTGCAATTGGTCCGAAGGAGAGAAGAGCAGCCAGCATTTGCTGGACTAACCCCCTTCTTCTCCTTTCCCTTGTGTTTCATGTCTTTTTAGATTGTAAGCCTAAAGGCAAGGAATTGTCAAATTAACAACTTGTAAGCTGCTCTAGGAACTCTTTTTTTGGCTACAAATGCTCTATATAAATAAAAATGTAATGCTCGTTTCTGGGATTAACATAACTCAAAAACCATTGGGCGACTTGACACCAAATTTGGATACAACACACCTCTCAGGCCAATGAGTGACCATCACTCATAAAAATACTGGAAAACACAAAAGGGACTTAAAAAGCCAAAATAAATGCATTAAAATTAATAATAATATAAATAAAATAATATAATAATAAGAAGAATAAGAAATCCAGCACTGCAAAGCAAGGCTACTGTTCATGAGCATGTGCAGAGGGTCATAGAAATATAATAATAATAATAATAATAATAATAATAACAACATAGAATAATAGAATAATAAATATATAATAATATAAATAATAAATAATAAAATAATAATAGAATAATAAAATAATCTATATAAATAAAAATGTAATGTTCATTTGTTGGATTAACTTAACTCAAAAACCACTGGACGAATTGACACCAAATTTGGACACAATACACCTCTCAGGCCAACAAAGGACCATCACTCATAAAACACTGAAAAACACATTGGAAGAGATTTTAAAAGCAAAAAACCCCCAAAACCTTACAATGCATATGCAAACCACGTATAAACACATATATACATACATACACACACAAAACACATATACACACACTGGGCCACAGAAATGCGTGGCAGGGGACGGCTAGTAGGAGAATAAAACCACAGATTTGCAAGGGACCACAAGGGTCATCTAGTCCAACCCTATTCTGTCACGAAGGAATACACAATTAAAATACTCCTGACAGATAGATATCCAGCCTCTGTTAAAAACCTCCAAGAAGACTCAATCACTCTATGAGGCAGTATATTTCACTGTTAAATTACCATCAGACAGTTCTCATTTCAAGTCTACTTGTCCTTATTTCATCAATAATTATTTTAACTAATCTATAAATCAATAATGGGAATCTGATAATTTACCTGTTGTATAACTTATCATAATTTTCTTTTAGGAGGTCCCGCTCTTTCTCCAAATCATTGATTGTATCTTGTAGCTGAAATGAAGAAAATTGTTAGCAGTGATGCAACTGAAAATGAAAAATCAACCATTACTGACAGAAACACAATCAGGCAGAACTATTTTAGCTGTCAAGGAATAGTAGATTGGTTCTTATACCACACAATAACAGCTATGATGCAACAGAAGAGTAAGGCAGTCTGGGATGATTGTGGTAATTCAGCCCATGATTGTGCCTGCTCCTAATGTCAATGAGGAAGTGGATCATGGGATTTCTGGGCATGTGAGCCAGCATGAGATTTTAAGTCCTGAAATTGAGCACTCTGTATCCACAGTTAGTAAAAGTGAAGGCCACATTCCAGAGAGGAGCCCAGAGAAGTCTTTCTCTAGGGAAGTTAGTTCAGAAGATGAAATGGCAGGTGGAGAGGTTAATGAGCTGATAGATAGGAGGATTAGTTTTTGCAAACTCTGAGTTGCTTCACAGACTTGATGAAAGTCACGGTGCTTGTTAGAGGAAAAAGCCGTTATCAGATAGTCAGGAAAGATTGAATGCTTTCATGGCTTTATTAAAGAGACCAGAGAGATTTCCCAGCAGTCTGGTCAACTTTGGTGATTGATGATAAATCTCTTGCCAAGTCAAGCCTACTAAGAGATTTCTAGTTCCATGTTTCCATTTGCTCTTGTTCTATGCTTCCAAGTTTAAAGGATTGTTCCTGTCTCTCGTGTACTGGATTTATGATACCTTGTGTATCCAGTAGGCTTGGGCAATCCATGGTTCTAAATGGTTCTAAAGTACTTACAAAACTAAAGTTCTGGTGGTGAAAATTTCAGAACTCTAACAAAACTCTCAAAATTTCATAATAAATGGCAGTTCCTAATTGGTTCTGTCATTAAAATCACCAATAATGAAATAATAATTAAATTTTGAAAGTTTTGTTAGAGTTCTGAAATTTTCATCACCAGAACTTTAGTTTTGTAAGTACTTTAGAACCATTTAGAACCATGGATTGCCCAAGCCTAAATTATTTATATGCTGATTTTTCGATGCTAGTTTTGTACCTTGAATCTTGTGGACTATTTCATTCCTTTGGACTTTGACATTTTTACTAATTTTGCTGAACTACTTTTTGTATAAACCTCAATAAACTGCTTTCCTGATTTAACTTGGACTGAAGTGTGGTGGTTAAGCACAGAGGTGCTTCCTGTCCTGGGATACAGCAATGATGAATAAAATGTTTACCTGTTTCCCCCCCCCCCCCCAAAAAAAAAAACCCTCAAGGGCGTTACAAGCCATCAAGGGTGGAGAGGCCCTGCTCTTGGTCCCGCCACCTTCGCAGGCGCGTCTGATGGGGATGAGAGACAGGGCCTTCTCTGTGGTGCCCCTCTGACTATGGAACTCTCTCCCAAATGAAGTTAGATCTGCCCCCTCTCTCCTGACCTTTAGGAAGCAAGTCAAATCTTGGCTATGGAACGAGGCATTCACAGAATGATGGCTGACACCGCTAAATGGCTAAAGTATTGACCGAGTTGGACCTTGTTTTATCTTGGCGAACTGGTTTTAAATGTATTTTATCTTATTGTATTTTACTTATTGTTATGTACTATGTTTAAATGGTTTTATTGTTAGCATTGAATCCTTGCTGTGAACCATCCTGAGACCCTCCATGAAGGTTACAGAAGAATGTTATACAAAAACTTTAAATAATAAATAATAAATAAAATGAAAATCTTATTGAAAGTTAAATGTGCTGCTAAATTAGAAAAAAAATTCCAGCCATTTTATTAACATCAGTGTGTTTGACTCACGTTATTCCCATTAAATTTACCATTTTACCTGCTCTATGGTGGTGATTCAAAATATCACTCTTAACCCATTGTACCTGAAATGGGGGTCATTTAGATCCCTCTGAATACCACCCTTCTTTGCCATTTGCTATGCTCACTAGGGCATATGGGAACGGACTCCATCCACATCTGGAAAGCCACATGTTGGCACCGTGTAATGACATTGTTGATCATCATGACTGAGGACAAACACAACACCTTAAAAAAGTTCACTGTCTATTATGAACTCCAATATGTCAACAAGACAAGGGTTGATGATTCATTGTTTGACCTATTTAGACTGCTCAGCTTCATATGAATAACCACTCTAAGGTAATAGCAGTAGAAACAATGATGGGAATAATCTAAAGAGCATGGGAAATGAGTTGTATCAATATCAGGGGATAAACACTGTATGGTTGTGCATCTCTCCATTTCCTAGGAAGGATAAGCAAACTATCAGTCAGACAAGATTTAGCCTCACCTCATCTAATCGTCGCTTTGAAAAAGTGTTGGCTTGCAGTTGTCTCTCCAGATGGAGGCATTTTGAACGCTCTTCCTTGAGCTGCAGATTCAGTTCATCTCCTTTTGCCATAAGTGCATCATGGCTGACTTTAAGATGCCTTTGGTTCTGTGGCAATGGTGGAGAGAAGGCAGTTGAAGGTAAGCATTCTTTCAGCAACAATTATCTTTCACAGCAAAAAAATAAATAAGGGGTGGTGAGATGTAGGGCTGGCGGGGTGGATGCAGTCATGCCTTGCTGTGAGTCTTTCTTTCCATATACATATTTAACTATAAGTTTGATTGAACTTAGGTTCCCCTGGTGGCGCAGCGGGTTAAACCACTGAGATGCTGAACTTGCTGAACAAAAGGTCGGCAGTTCAAATCCGGGGAGCGGGGTGAACTCCATGATGTTAGTCCAAGTTTCTGCCAACCTAGCAGTTCAAAAACATACAAATGTACCACTGAAAAAACATGTTTTTTTTTTACATAACCCTGGACAAAATTTTAAAATGCTATAAAAATACAAATGAAAAGACTTTTTGGAGTTGTAGTTGCTGGGATTTATAGTTCACCTACAATCAAAGAGCATTCTGAACCCCACCAACGATGGAATTGAACCAAACTTGGCACACAGTTCTCCCATGACCAATAGAAAATACTGGAAGGGTTTGGTGGGCAGTGTCCTTTGGTTTTGGAGTTGTAGTTCACCTACATCCAGAGAGCACTGTGGACTCAAACAATGATGGATCTGGACCAAACTCTACACGAATACTCAATATGCCCAAATGTGAACACTGGTGGAGTTTGGTGAAAATAGAATCTGACATTTGGGAGTTGTAGTTGCTGGGATTTATAGTTCACCTACAATCAAAGAGCATTCTGAACCCCACCACCAATAGAATTGGGCCAAACCTCCCACACAGAACCCCCATGACCACCAGAGTGGGCCACAGCAAGGCGTGGCAGGGGACAGCTACTAAGTAAATAAAAAGAAAACATGCAAATGTGAGTAGATCAATAGGTACCGCTCTGGCGGGAAGGTAATGGTGCTCAATGCAGTCATGCTGGCCACATGACCTTGGAGGCATCTTCGGACAACGCCTGCTCTTTGGCCTAGAAATGGAGATGAGCACCACCCCCCGGAGTTGGACACAACTAGACTTAATGTCAAGGGGAAACCTTTACCTTTACTTGACTTTAATGGGACTTGAATCGAAACAGAAATCAACAGGGCTGCAGAGTTAGCACAAATCCCCACTTATTCCTCAGTGCAACTACGTACATATATATCTGAATTTTAGCAGCAGCATAATTCTAACCCTGTTTATTCAGAGGTGAGTCCCACTGAGTTCTGAGGAGGTGCATTCCCAGGTAAGCGGGTAGATCTGCATTACACTTTGGCAAATATAAGAAGGAAGTGTTTGTCTCAGGCTTTTAAGTTTATTCAATCATAAGCTGACTGGAGCATAACGAGGATTGGCTCTCTAGTGAAAATACTTAGCAGAAGTCTTTTCATACCTCGTCGAGCTGCAGCATTTTGGATTCCATTGCCGCAACCTCATTGCTTTTCTCCGCCAACTGCTTGTGCAGCTTGATCAGTGTGACATTGTCGCGAATTGTTAACCTTTCAAACACAAGAGATAGGAAAAGTATTGGTAAAATGTACAGTGCAACAGCCACTGACTATTGTTTTACTGTGAAAATTTTAAAAAACCTTTTCAATTAGTTCTTTTATGGCTCATTAATTCCTAAACATAGCTGGGAAGAGGAAAGTTTCTAAATAGTTAACTTAAATATTTTCTATTAAAATTAGCATTACAGATTGGGTTGCTGTGATCCCTGGGTTGCTCTGAGTTTTATGGGCTTTATGGTCATGTTCCAGAAGCATTCTCTCCTGACGTTTTGCCCACATCTATGGCAAGCATCCTCAGAGGTTGTGAGGTTTGTTGGAAACGAGGCAAGTGGAGTTAATCAACTGAAGCATTCTTACTTACTAATGCGATCCCTTGTTGTCCGAGAAGGATAATCCTCCAGGGTGGGTCCGTAGGTGACTGTGGTGCCCTATTCTTGATCTGTATCTTTTTCCACAGTGAGGGCATCGGTTTCCAGGTGGAAGGCGGTCTCGGTCGGGGTTGGCTTGATATGCCTTCCTCTTGGCATGTTTCTCTTTCACCCTCCATTTGTGCCTCTTCAAATTCTGCAGCACTGCTGGTCACAGCTGACCTCCAGCTGGAGTGCTCAAGGGCCAGGGCTTCCCAGTTCTCAGTGTCTATGCCAGAGATTTTAAGGCTGGCTTTGAGCCCATCTTTAAATCTCTTTTCCTGTCCACCAACATTCCATTTTCCATTCTTGAGTTTGGAGTAGAGGAACTGCTTTGGGAGATGGTGGTCAGGCATCCGGACAATGCGGCCAGTCCAGCAGAGTTGATGGCAGAGGACCATCGCTTCAATGCTGGTGGTCTTTGCTTCTTCCAGCACGCTGACATTTGTCCGCTTGTCTTCCCAAGAGATTTGCAGGATTTTTCGGAGGCAGCGCTGATGGAATCGTTCCAGGAGTTGCATGTGACGTCTGTAGATAGTCCACATCTCACGTATAGCAGGGTTGGGAGGACAATAGCTTTATAAACAAGCACCTTAGTATCCCTGGTCCTCGAACACTCTCTGCTTCATTCGGAAAAATGCTGCACTTGCAGAGCTCAGGTAGTGTTGTATTTCAGTGTCAATGTTGACTTTTGTGGAGCGGTGGCTGTCAAGATAGCGGAAATGGTTAACGTTTTCTAATGATATACCATTAAGCCTTATTTCTGGCATTGGAGAGGGATTGCACTATGATACTTCATCTTGTTGATGGGAAGCTTCCCACCGGAGTGGAAATCATCTATCGGACAGATGGCAAGCTATTTAACTTCAGCAGACTGAAAGCCAAAACCAAGGTTACAACAACATCTGTTATAGAACTCCAATATACTGATGACAAAGTTGTCTGTGCGCAATTGAGGCAATCACTCTTGCCTCAAACAGACAAGTGTTCTTTCTCCCACCCTGGACATTCCACAGATATATAAACCCAACTTGCCTTGCTTCCAACAAACCTCACAACCTCTGAGGATGCCTGTCATAGATGTGAGCAAAACATCAGGAGAAAATGCTTCTGGAGCATGGCCATACAGTCCAAAAAACTCAGAGCAACCCAGGGATTACGGCCATGAAAGCCTTCGACAACAGTGTTACAGATTGTTAAATATATCGAGGTTTTACTCGACTAGATTTGGATTTCAGTCATTGTTTGGATATACTGGTTTCTGCTATGAAACTTTGGAAGATGCTGAGGTGAAAGGAGCAACCTTATCCTTGCAACAGGCAGATAATTTGTTTTCACTCTCGAGCCACTTTCTTCCAAACGCTCACTGTCAGGGAATCACTATTTCCTGGAACTTCAAAACTTTCCTCAAGTATTTTCAAGAAAAGTGACTTAGCATTTTACACAGATAATTCATTTAGATTGGCATTCAAATAACCTGCAGATGTATGTTAACGCTGACCATCTTGACCGAAATTCTAGATGGCCAAGGTTCTGTTATATATTTCTCCTGCTGAGATTCAATTGAAATTTCACTATTTAATCTTGTTAAAAGTCATCACACAGCTAAGTACAGATATGTTTTCCAAACTGTATCCCTTGAACAGAGACGGGTGACCTCATTATTATTATTTTTGCATGTATTCGGAGCAAGAAACGTTTAAAAGGAAACCCCTGAATTGATTTTAACTGCGAATACCAAATAAAGCATGATAAACATCAGAACAGAATCTCACATCTTGAAACACATTGTTTCTTCTCCAAAACTTATCTGTTACAGACAGACTGGAAAAAATTGTCCCACTGCCATGCTGGAACCAGAAATTAAACTACAAAGCGCACACATCTGTAAACCAGCTGAGGACTTGAAATGCTTTTTCTTTGTTTTTTAATTCTTTAGACTCTCAGAATCCATTGTGTTTTGGCATCACCCGGTCAACTGTCCTTTTGGAGAAGATTAAAAAGCACTTTCAAACATTTTCTTGCCTGACGAACTGGTTTATTGCACCTTTCAAATAAAGAGCGGTAGCGCGGAAACACATAGCTGCTGTTGCTTCGTCCTAAGCACCAAAAGCTCTAATGCAAAAACATGCTTTTATTAATTTTGCTCCTCACATCAAACAAATAGTAGGAATGTGCTCAGAGTTTTACAAGAGGTTTACTTCTCCCTTATTTTCAAATAAAAGGAGTGGGACTGAATGATATTTATGATGTGCAGATGTAAGCTTAAGGAGTCCAGCTAATCAACATTAACTAGTACTTTCCATCATGCCAACTCAGTCAGTTGTGTCCAGATGTAGCAGAAAACCATGGCTTACCAAATACAATGAGTCTAGAAATCATGCATTTCCCCCTTTCCTTCCTTTCTGTGCTATACATGACACGTACGCAAATACAAACAGCTCCCAGATTTTATTTTAAACCAAACAGACTTTCTCACAATATCTGGCGTGATTTGGTCTAACAATAGGTGAAGATTTTCCCCTGACATTAAGTCTAGTCGTGTCCGACTCTGGGGGTTGGTGCTCATCTCTTTTTCTAAGCCGAAAAGCCGGCATTGTCCATAGACACCTCCAAGGTCATGTGGCCGGCATGACTGCATGGAGTGCCGTTACCTTCCCACCGGAGCGGTACCTATTGATCTACTCACATTTGCATGTTTTTGAACTGCTAGGTTGGCAGAAGTTGGGGCTAACAGTGGAAGCTTACGCCGCTCCCCTGATTAGAACCTGCTGTCGCACTCTAGAACAGGAAACACCCTCTGACTTTAAATACCACATGTTGAATAGGAAAACAATCCTTTTATTGGAGATAATTAAAAAGCAGCAAAGTAAAAAAGCACTTTAAAGAAATAGGTAAATCGAATTAGGTAAGAAGATAAGCAGGAACAAAATAGTCCAGGGTAAAGCTCAGCAAAGTCCATAAAAACAAAGTCCACACTTCTCTAATATAATCCAGAAAACCAGGAAATATTGATCCAAGGCATGTGTATATAGTCATACAATCCAAGAATCAAAACCATGAAACAAGAAATACTTAAGCATGGATCTTCCAAGCTAGGGTTCCATGAAACAAGGACAAGAACTTGATTCCAAACAATGTTTCATCTGACTACATTTCCTGTACTTGGGACTTTTATCCCCTCGTGAAGCTATCCCAAGCACTCTGAAATTGGTTTTGCTTTAATTGAGATTCCCTTTTCTTTTTTCTGTTGGAGCCTGGCAGAGTGCCGAAGCCACTACTCGGCTTGTCTGTTTTGACTAATCTCCTGCCGTCTATCTATTTGCTCATTAACTTCTGCAGGTGTCGAGTTGTTTTCAAGCCCCAAATCCTGGGAACTCTCTGGTAGAAATTCATGGAGTATACCATGAACAGGTATCTCCTGTTCATTCTCTGCATCAATATCATTGACCAAACCATTGCCATCTTGAAACTCCACATCCAAAAAGCACCCTGATCCTGAAACACAATCACAGGCTGAGCTCCAACACTTTCAATCAGGAAGTTCAGATGCTCAGCGGTTTGACCCACTTTGTGAAAACTAGCCAGGATCAACAAACTATGGTTTAAGTTTAGGTTTGTTGGTACTAACTTTAGTTTAGGGTAATCACAATTTCCCAAACTTGGATGTTAACTAAAGATTGGACTATGCATGTTTGTCTCCTAAGCCCATAACTCTTTACAGCCACATCACACAACACTTCACACTCTGCTCACTAATGAGCTAATGCTCAGCTTTTGTATCTTGTTTGTTTTTGGATGCTCTGCTATATTTTAGGGTAATATTTCCCTAATAATATGATCAGGAAGTTCAGCAGCTCAGTGGTTTAACCCACTTTGTGAAAACTAGCCAGGATCAACAAACTATGGTTTAGGCCTAGGTTTGTTGACACTAACCATAGTTTAGGGTAACCACAATTTCCCAAATTTGGATGTTAACTAAAGACTGCTCTCTGCGTGTTTGTCTCCTAAGCCAGGGTGGTTCATGCCTTAGTCACCTCCAGATTGGACTACTGTAACGCACTCTACGTGAGGCTGCCCTTGAAAACGGCCCGGAAATTTCAATTGGTTCAACAGGCGGCTGCCAGGTTAACTGGTGCTCCTTACAGGGAGCGGTCAACCCTCCTGTTTAAGGAGCTCTACTGGCTGCCGTTCATTTTCCGGTCCCAATCCAAGGTGCAGGTTCTTACCTACAAAGCCCTAATCGGTTTGGGACCTGCCTACCTTCGTGACCGCATTTCTGCATTTCTGTATATGAACCCACACGATCTCTTCGATCATCTGGAGAGGCCCTGCTCGCGCTCCCACCTCCATCGCAGGTGCGATTGGTGGGGACGAGGGAGAGGGCCTTCTCCGTGGTGGCCCCTCGACTCTGGAACTCACTCCCCAAGGATATCAGGCATGCCCCAACTCTGGCAGTCTTTAGGAGGAGCCTGAAAACATGTGTTTTACATGTTCCAGTGTGCCTTCCCAGAATAAGGAAACTCCCAGCAATATGTCCCTAAATGCACTTTATCAATGATCTAGGATTGTCTGCATGCCTTTTCCTGTCCTGTTTTAATTATTACATTTGGCCTAGCCATAGGTTTTTAAGTCTTGTTGTGCTATTGTTAATGCTTACTGCTTGTTTTTGTTTATGAGTTTCATTTTATTGTTTTGTACTGCTGTTATGGTTGTTTTGCTGATGTATTGTGGGCTTGGCCTCATGTAAGCCGCACCAAGTCCCTTGGGGAGATGGTAGCGGGGTACAAATAAAGTATTATTATTATTATAAGCCGTTAATTCTTTACAGCCACATCACACAACACTTCACACTCTGATCACTAATGAGCTAATGCTCAACGTGTGTATCTTGTTTGTTTTTGGATGCTCTGCTATATTTCAGGGTAGTATTTCCCTAACAATATGGTCTGATACTGTTATGGCTTTTTCATGATGTTTCAGCCTACCGTTGGCCTGTGGCTTGCTGCTCTTTCAGTTGTAGGAGGGCTTCTTCAAATTCACTTTCCTTCCTCTGAATTTCATTCCTGAGCATTTCCACAGCATGTTCTAACTCCTCATTGTGTGTTTTTAGTGATTCAATAACATTCTCTCTGCAAAGCAAGAAAACAACAATGTTTTTGGGTTTCACCAGCTGGAAGGCAGAAGACAGGTAGACTTCTGCTCTCTACTAGAAGCAGAAACGGAAATCATGGAAAGAATGGGGATAGGTTCCTTGGAGAATTTTTAAAGATTTTACAGTCATTGTTAACAACAGCTTTTTAAAATTGTAGAAGACATTTGATCAGATTTTAAACTTGGTTCTACTACCTTTGTAAGGCTTTGAAAAGTCAACTTCGTATGAGTTGCAAAGAAATAATTAGGATATTAAGCTCTCGGAGATATTTAAAACATTGTAATGCTTCTGAATATGAAATATGAATTGTTAAATTCACTGGAAGCATACCATGATTCACTTGTTTTCATGTACATTATAGGTTATTAAGATTTCCATCAGACATGGTTATTTTGGATTGTGAAATCTGCATGGAGTGTAAAATACTTGCATATTGTAGAGATATATTTTGAAAGGAAGCATAAGGACCTTTCAACATTTGATTATATTGTATATACATGTTCTTTTCAGAAAGGCAGCTTATAAAAACCGCAAATAAATGGCTGGAGAAAAATACCTGCATATTTTAGTGATGTGTTTTAGAAGTAAATGTAAATTTGATTATACAAATGTTGTTATTAACTTGTATAGCAACTGCATAATGTACAGCCTATCTTATGGACAAGAAGGTGATAGATGAAACGGAAAGCTTCACATTCCTTGATATCAAATCTGAAGTTAAGAAAAAAGGAGAGGGGCTGGAACTTAAAAAATTTCCCAGTTAAGCAAAGCTTTTATTGCCATTTTTGGCTACCTCCTGATAGACTGTTATGAGGAATGTTGGATTAAATGTTTTGCACCCCCCTCCCTGTAGTTAGAACTGGACAGATCTGTATTCATAAATCTGATTCCTCTCACACAAGGAGTTCAAAACCTGCTATGTCTTCAAATCTTGACAATTAGGTCCTCAGAAAAAAAATATATACCATATATACTTGAATATAAGCCGAGTTTTTCAGCCCCTTTTAGGCTGAAAAAGCCCCCCTTGGTTTTTACTCAAGTCAAGGTTATTTATTATTTTACAGTTATTTTCAATATTTTTATTACATTATTTTACTTTATTATTATTATTATTATTATTACCTTTACATTAATTTACTATATTGTTATTATTATTATATTACATTTATTATTTTACTCTATTATTATTACATTTATTATTTACTCTGTTATTATTATTCTTATTTATTTATTTATTTTCCCAAGGCGGCCAAACAGAAGCACCATATGATGCCAGCATCATAAAACATTCAACAATACATTAAAAATATTAAAACAATAATTAAAACAATAATTAAAACACACCTATTAAAATATTATTACATTTACATTATTTTACTCTATATATTATTATTCTATTTATTATTATTATTCTAATTATTATTATTATTATTATTATTACATTTATTATTTAACTAGCTTTATTATTATTGGAAGGATGTGTAAGCACATGTACCATACATTGAAAAAGGTTAGAATAATGGTTTAATCAGAGTTGTACAGTATTATCTTAAATTACAGTTTTATGTAAATATTCAAATATATTTAACCTACCAATGCATCAAATAATGGAATTTTATTGGTATCTATTTTTATTTTGAAATTTACCAGTAGCTGCTGCATTTCCCACCCTCGGTGTACTTACTTACTTACTTAGGCGATCCCTCGTTGGACGAGTAAGATGGTCTTCCATTATGGCTTTCCTTGTGGGTCCTGGCACGTTTCTCTCTTTTTCCCTCCACTCGTGCCTCCTCGAATTCTGCAGCACTGCTGGTCACAGCTGACCTCCAGCTGGAGCGCTCTGGGCCAGGGCTTCCCAGTTCTCAGTGTCTATGCCAGAGTTTTTAAGGTTGGCTTTGAGCCCATCTTTAAATCTCTTTTCCTGTCCACCAACATTCCGTTTTCCGTTCTTGAGTTCGGAGTAGAGCAACTGCTTTGGGAGACGGTGGTCGGGCATCCGGACAACGTGGCCGGTCCAGCGGAGTTGATGGCGGAGGACCATCGCTTCAATGCTGGTGGTCTTTGCTTCTTCCAGCACGCTGACGTTTGTCCGCTTGTCTTCCCAAGAGATTTGCAGGATTTTCCGGAGGCAGCGCTGATGGAAACGTTCCAGGAGCTGCATGTGACGTCTGTAGACAGTCCACGTCTCACAGGCATAGAGCAGGGTTGGGAGGACAATAGCTTTATAGACAAGCACCTTGGTCTCCCTACGGATGTCCCGGTCCTCAAACACTCTCTGCTTCATTCTGGAAAATGCTGCACTTGCAGAGCTCAGGCGGTGTTGTATTTCGGCGTCAATGTTGACTTTGGTGGAGAGGTGGCTGCCAAGGTAGCGGAAATGATCAACATTTTCTAATGTTACACCATTAAGCTGTATCACTGGCATTGGAGAGGGATTGGCTGGTGCCTGCTGGAAAAGCACCTTGGTTTTTTCAATGTTCAATGACAGGCCGAGCTTCTCGTATGCTTCTGCGAAGGTGTTTAGAGTGGCTTGTAGATCTTCTTCTGAATGCGCACAGACGACATTGTCATCAGCATACTGGAGTTCTATAACAGATGTTGTTGTAACCTTGGTTTTGGCTTTCAGTCTGCTGAGGTTAAACAGCTTGCCATCTGTCCGATAGATGATTTCCACTCCGGTGGGAAGCTTCCCATCAACAAGGTGAAGTATCATAGCGATGAAGATGGAGAATAAGTTGGGGCAATAACACATCCCTGTTTGACACCGGATTCCACTTTAAATGGGTCACTTTGGGAGCCACTGCTGTCCAAGACTGTTGCCATCATGTCATCATGGAGGAGCCGCAGGATGTTCACAAATTTGCTTGGGCACCCGATTTTTTGGAGGATGGTCCAGAGAGCGCTGCGATTCACTGTGTCGAATGCCTTTGCAAGGTCGATGAATGCCATGTACAGAGGTTGGTTTTGTTCCCTGCATTTTTCTTGGAGCTGTCGTGCAGTGAAGATCATGTCCACTGTTCCTCTGGAGGGGCGGAAGCCGTTCTGGGATTCTGGGAGGGTGTCTTCTGAGAGGGGCAGAAGGCGGTTTGCAAGGATTCTTGCGAGGATTTTCCCAGCGGAGGTTAGAAGGGAGATACCTCGATAGTTTCCGCAGTCTGTTCTTTCCCCTTTTTTGAAGAGGGTGATGATGGTGGCGTCCTTGAAATCTGCTGGGATTTTCTCGGTCACCCACACTTTTTCTATGAGCTGGTGGAGTTGGTGTGTCAGCTCAGGTCCTCCCTCTTTAAAGATTTCAGCAGGGATCCCGTCTGGTCCACTGGCTTTGTTATTCTTCTGTTGGCTGATGGCATTGCTGACTTCTTCCAAACTGGGCAGTGCTGCAAGCTCATCCCTGGTTTGTTGTTGTGGGATTTGTGAGAGGACCTCTTCGGCCACATTGGAGCTGCGGTTCAGGAGGCTTTGGTAGTGTTCTTTCCAACGTAGTGCAATTGAGTTTTGGTCCTTCAGGAGTTTGGTTCCATCTGATGAGCGTAGAGGCTGTATGCCATGGTTTCTTGGTCCGTACATGACCTTTGTGGCTTTGAAAAATCCCTGAGCATTATGGGTATCTGCTAGGTGTTGGATTTCTTCGGCCTTCTTTGTCCACCAGATGTTCTTGAGTTCTCTTGTCCTTCTTTGGACCTCAGCTTTTGCACTGGCATAGATCTTTTTCTTAGCAGCACAGTTGATGTCTCTCTGCCATGTTTGGAAGGCTTTCCTTTTCTTGTCAATTAGCTGTTGGATCTCGATGTCATTTTCATCAAACCAATCTTGATGTTTCTTGGCTTGGTATCCAATAGTTTCTTCGCAGGCTTGGATGATGGAGGTCTTCAGTTTGTTCCAATGTTCCTCAACATTTTCGGGGTGTACTGTGGGTAGATGGTCCTTGAGTGCTGTTTGGAGATGGGCTCGTCTGGAGGGCTCCTGAAGGGCTTGGGTGTTCATTTTGCGCCTTGTCTTCCTTCCTTGGAGTCTGCGCTTGGAGCGATCTTGATAGCCATCGAGGATCGAATTAGCCTGTGGTCAGTCCAGCAGTCGTCAGCACCTGTCATGGCTCTTGTGAGGAGCACGTCACGGCGGTCTCTGGCGCGTGTGATTACATAGTCTAAGAGGTGCCAATGCTTTGACCGGGGGTGCTTCCATGATGTCTTGAACTTGTTTTTCTGGCGGAAGAGCGTGTTGGTGATGACAAGGTTGTGCTCCGCACATTTGGTGAGAAGCAGGATGCCGTTTGAGTTGCTGTTTCCAACCCCGTCTTTTCCGATGGTCCCTGGCCACAGGTCGAAGTCTCACCCGACTCTTGCATTGAAGTCCCCCAGGAGGATGATTTTGTCCTCCTTAGGTATCCCCGATAGGACGGTGTCCAGCTGACAGTAGAATTTCTCCTTGATGTCTTCATCAGCATCTAGTGTTGGTGCATAGGCACTTATGATGGTTGCCCGTTGGTTTTTGGCAAGATCGATTCGGAGGGTTGAGAGTCGTTCATTGATGCCAGTGGGTGCTTCGGACAGATGTTTCATCAGATCATTTCTGATGGCGAAGCCAACTCCGTGCATTCTTTGGTCTTCTTCGGGCAGTCCCTTCCAGAAGAAGGTGTAGCCTCCTTTTTCTTCCTTCAGCTGTCCCTCTCCTGCTCTCCGGGTCTCCTGAAGGGCTGCTATGTCGATGTTGAAGCGTCCCAGCTCCCTTGCAATGATGGCAGTTCTGCGTTCGGGGCGTTCACTGCCGCTGTTGTCCATCAGAGTCCGTACGTTCCACGTACCGAAGTTCATTTTTCTTTTTGGCCGCAGGGTGGTGACCCCACTGGACGCGGCAGTCCAGTCAGGGATAAGTGAGGCAGACTATGTTTAGGGCACCTTTTCTAGCCCCCTCCCCGTGTGGGGTGAGCAGAGTGGGTCCTAAAAAGGGCTGCTCAGTCGCGGATACAGCTGCCGAACTACTCAACTGCCTCGGACCTTGAGGTAGAACGACTGAGTCCGTACCCACCGCCCATGTGCCAGTCTGTGACTAGGGGCTTCCAGATTTCACAGTCCTGCCCCCGTCGCCACTCGCTGATTGCCATGGGGCTTTGGTTGGTTTGTTTTTATTTTCTTTGGAAGACGCCTGTGCGTGGGTTTTTTTAATGTGTGGAGGTCAGTGCACAACTGATCAACACACAGACTTCACAGAGTGAGGTTCCACTGGTGATGTAGTTTAACACAATGACCGTGGCTTCTCAGTCTGTTGCAGCCTTCTTCCGCCTTCGCAGCCGTTGTAACATGTGCCATGTTATCCTCCGCCTGCTCCGCCGTTGAGGTCTTTGGGTCTTCGGACTGTGCTTGGTCTGGAACCTCCCCCGCAGCCACTCCTGGGAGTGCACGACTCCAGTTGTTGTGCCTACAGGTTCATTGGAACGCGCAAGCCCCCTCACCACGACAAGGTGACAGTATACTCAACTCAGTATGTTTTCCCAGTTTTTATGTGGTAAAATTATTTGCCTCAACTTATATTCAGGTTGGCTTATACTCAAGTATATACGGTAAATTGAAGAACAGGCCAAATGGTTTCAGAGGATAGAAGGGGCCCTTCCACACAGCCCTATATCCCAGAATATCAAGGCAGGAAATCCCACATTATCTGAGTGTGGACTCAGGTAACCTAGTTCAAAGCAGATATTGTGGGATTTTCTGTCTTGGTATTCTGGGATATAGGGCTGTGTGGAAGGGCCAAAAATTATCAAGATCAGAGCCTCTTCAATATGGTAGACAGGAGTTACAGAATGGAAGTGAAAAATGAAAATAGCAGTCTATTTATAGGATCTTATGCAAAGTCTTTATTTCCTAAAACATGCTGAGCACATATCTCTTTCTTTTAAAAGATTCTTGAGGCAATCAGTGCGTTCCAACCATTTATGGTGACAGCATCTTGTTGTCTATCTTTACTACATTCCTCCGGCAACTATAAAATATGTCTTTTGTTGAACTGAGTACAGTTGGCACCTATTAGTTATACAACAGCATATGTCGCCTTATGGGTTTATGTGACTATTTGCTATTGAAGGAGACCAACAGAGCTGTTTAACAGTGAGATCAAACAAACTAAGAGTTTATAGCTTTGCAATGGTTTTTGTAAGAACTGGAGAGGATCACCTGACCTGTCCTGGGACCAGGTATTATGAGGTTGTAAGAAAATATTCCTTGAAACATGTTAACATGTTAACTGTTGCTCTGGGCCAGAATGAAAGGGGGGGGGGGCAGGGGACAGTTCCACCTTGTTTCCTGTGCTATGCTGATAATATAATATAATATAATATAATATAATATAATATAATATAATATAATATATTGTATATACATATAATATTTATATTATAATGGAATGCAATATAATACTACTAATAATATATTATAATTATATATTTCTATTACATGTAATATTACTAATAATATTACAATATAATGGTATAGTACAATATAGTAATATTTAATACTGATATTGTACTATGCCAATAATATATTGTATGTATATATATCTTGTAAGCCGCTCTGAGTCCCCTTCGGGGTGAGAAGGGTGGCATATAAATGTCGTAAATAAACAAACATTCACTAGTTGGAATAAAAATATGGGTTAATAAGGACGCTGTGACTGGAAATTAGGGCACTTCATGACTACATCAGATTTCCAGCAAAAATAGTGATTTGAGAACACAAAATGTCTCATAAAGGTTGGTCCAATCACATGATCTTTCCATCCCTTTTTCATGGCTCAGATGGTCAGTTTCACTGTTTGTAGGAAGTTAAGAATATAAAATCCAGTTCATATTCAAGATACAACAAATAACTGGGTGACTGAGGGGATATGTGTCAGGGCCTGCCTTGGGCACAATGGAATTGTTTTGAACTAGCTTGGCATTTCGTTGAGGAGCCAATAGGAAATTGATGTCCTCCAGGCTTCATTCTTCACTGTAAGAAGTAAAGCCTGAAAGTTTTTTGTGAAAATCAAATAGTAAGAGACTGAAAAGTATTTTGTATGTTTAGTCAATTGTAACTAGTAATACTTGAGAACAACAACAAAGAAAGATCAACAAAGCCATACAAGTTTCTTATCTCCGCCTTTGCTTCTTCAAGTAAGTTCTGCCCGTATTTTGGCGGCAAGGCTTGTGGGGATTTCAAAGGCTGGATATCGATGTCCTGCAATCTCATTCCTAAAATGTGGTGAGCAGTTGATAAAAGATAGAAGCGTATTGAGTGATATGTAGCTGACCACAAGAAAGAGAAAATAGGCAATACTGTAAACAGGAAGGCTAAACATTATCACTGCTTGTTATATTTATAATGTGCCTTTGAATACTATAAGGACCTCAGTGGATTAGTATGGGAGAAGACAACCCACCCATATAAATATTTCTTCCTTCACTAAACGCAGACCAAAATGTTATCTCTAGGCATTTTCTACATCCTCCAGGATGAATGAATGAAGGATCCGGCAAAAACATCTGTGCAACTCCTTGCCTTCACAAGCCTGATGGCATTCATGGAGTCCTCATAAACTGACAGATAATTTGCTTTCATACATATACACACTGTGCTGCTGTAATTTTCCAGGCTGTATGGCCATATTCCAGAAGCATTCTCTTCTGACGTTTCGCCCACATCTATGGCAGGCATCCTCAAAGGTTAGGGGGTTTGTTGGAAACATGGCAAGTTGGGTTTAATATCTGTGGAATGTCCAGGGTGGGAGAAAGAACTCTTTTCTGTTTGAGGCAAGTGTGAATGCTGCAATGGATCACCTTGGTTAGAATTGACTAGCTTTGCAGCTTCAAGGCTTGGCTGCTTCCTGCCTGGGGGAATCCCTGATTGTTTCATGCCTGGAATTCCCCTGTTTTCAGAGTGTTGTTCTTTATTTATTTACTGTTCTGATTTTAGAGTTTTTTAAAATATTGGTAGCCAGATATTGTTCATTTTTGTGGTTTCCTCCTTTCTGTTGAAACTGTCCACATGCTTGAGGATTTCAATGGCTTCTCTGTAGCTTGACATGGTAGTTGTTAGAGTGGTCCAGCATTTCTATGTTCTCAAATAATACTCTGTGTCCAGGTTGGTTCATCAAGTGCACTGCTATGGCTGACTTATCTGATTGAATTAATCTGCAGTGCATTTCGTGTTCCTTGAGTTGTGTTTGGGCAATGCTGCAATTGGTGGTCCCTATGTAGACTTGTCCACAGCTGCATGGTATACGGTAGACTCCTGCAGAAATAAGAGGATCCCTCTTGGCCTTTGCTGAATGTAGCATTTGTTGGATTTTCTGTGTGACCCAATCAACAACTGGACCACACAGTTTACAGAAAATCTACACGCATGGATAGACACCTACATACCATCACCAAAGTCAAAAAAGAAGAACAATTAAAGCCCTGGCAGACCATGCAAAAAGAATCTGCGAACTAGGCCTGTGCGGTTAGGTTCGTTAATTCGTTAATTCGTTAAACATTCGTTAATTTTCGCATATACGAAACGACAACAAAACATATTTCCAAACCCGGAAGGGTTTTTAAATATCGAAACGGCAACCCCCACAGTTTTTACGAGCTTTCGCTCGTTTCGTAAATGGGGCGGGCCGGCGGGGCGAAGGGGCGGCGCGAGCGCGCACCCAGTGAGCCAAGCCCCGACCCTGCCTGTTGGGCGCTTGACTAACTGCCCGATTCACAGAATGGTATTATACGTACACTCATAGGCGCATGGAGACAGAGCCGGCGCTGCAGGAATCCCCTCCCCGGCTCCTGCGCTCCGGCTCCGGCTCCTGCGCCTCCTCCTCCTCCTCCTCCTCCTCCTGGCACTTCCTGCAACACAGCTGCGGAGGCCGGTTGTCTCTTTAAGGCGCCTCTCTCTCCCAGCAACACAGCTGCTGTCCCATCCAACTGGGAGAAGATGACTGGGAGAGAGAGGCGCCTTAAAGAGACAACCGGTCTCTCCCAGCGGTGTTGCAGGAAGTGCCAGGAGGAGGAGGAGGAGGAGGAGGGCGCAGGAGCCGGAGCCGGAGCGCAGGAGCCAGGGAGGGGATTCCTGCAGCGCCGGCTCTGCCTCCGTGGCCCGCCTGAGATGAGACAATACCATTCTGTGAATCGGGCAGTTAGTCAGACCCATCTCTTCTGATGACAAATGTCACACCTATCACATAGGAGTCCTTCCCATGTAAGCAACATCTGACCGAATTCATTCTTCTATACAACTGGGAAAGATACAGGAGTTCTGCTCCTAATAAAGATGGGAATAATATGTGAAAATATTCTAAAATGCAAAAGAATGTTTACTATCAAGTAACCCTGATGAAATGAATCCTGGATTGATAAGAAACTTTGCAGTTATACCCTTAACGGATCGACCCCGCGCCAATAACGAAGCTTGTTTTACGCATGCGCGGGGGTCCGCCATCTTTACAAAATGTTTTGTAAATATTTACGAAATTTCGTAAATACCAAAACTTTTTTTGGGAAAATTTTGTAATTATTTTAAATATCGAAACAAAAAAACACCCCAATTACAAATCGATTTTAGAAACAAATTTTTTCTTGATCAAACAGGCCTACTGCGAACCCCATCTTCTCCAAGGTCAACTGAACCACCTAAACGGGGCTCTACAGGCCAATGGAGACTCCACCACAGATATCAGAAGAGCTGCAAGACCGAGAACAAGCCACGAGAGTAAAGACAAAGATCCATCCAGAGGAAAAGTGTTCCTTCCATACATCAAGGGAAACACTGACCGCATAGGGAAGCTGATGAAGAAACGCAACCTACAAACTATCTACAGACTCATGATCAACAATTGCTACATTCAGCAAAGGACAAGAAAGATCTTCTCACCTCTGCAGGAGTCTACCATATACCATGCAGCTGTGGACAAGTCTACATAGGGACCCCAAACACAGTAGCATTGCTCAGACACAATTCAAGGAACATGAAAGGCATTGCAGACTAATTCAACCAGAGAAGTCAGCCATAGCAGAGCACCTGATGAACCAACCTGGACACAGCAGATTATCTGAGAACACAAAAATGCTGGACCACTCTAACAACCACTATGTCAGACTATACAGAGAAGCCACTTAAATCCACAAGCATGTGGACAATTTCAACAGAAAGGAGGAAACTATGAAAATGAACAAAATCTGGCCACCAGTATGAAAAAAGCTCTAAAATCAGGACAGTGAATAAAGAGCAACACTCAAAAAGCAGGGAAATTCCAGACAAAAATCAATCAGGGCTAGCTAACACATGCTTCAAACAAACAAACAAATAAATAATACATCCAAAAAAGGATTCCCGCAGGCAGCAATCAGACAGGCTTTAAGTTGCAAGGCCATTCAGGGCTAATCAAGGTGATCAATTGCAACATTCACACTTGCATCAAGCAGACAATAGCTCTTTCTCCCACTCTGGACATTCCACAGATATATAAACCCCACTTGCCTAGTTTCCAACAGACCCCTCAACCTCTGAGGATGACTGCCATAGATGTGGGTGAAACGTCAGGACAGAATGCTTCTGGAACATGGCCATACAGCAGTGGTTCTCAACCTGTGGGCCCCCAGATGTTTTGGCCTTCAACTCCTAGAAATCCTAACAGCTGGTAAACTGGTTGGAATTTCTGGGAGTTGTAGGCCAAAACACATGGGGACCCACAGGTTGAGAACGACTGCCGTACAGCATAGAAAACCCACACTACTCTGTGCAACTCCTTGCCTCACAAGCCTGATGACAATTATGGCGTCCCCACATTGGCAGATGATTTGCCTTCATACATACACACACTATTTTAATCTTTATTGTAAATGGTTTTAATTCTGTTTTGCATAATAAGATATTTAACCTTAATTTTACTTATAAACATTTACAAATCACCTTGAGTCAAGATCTGGGGGATGGACAGGGAATTAACATGAGTTTGATTAATTATTTGATGAATAACTTGAGATTTCCAGGTAGAGCTTGTTATGAATCCTAACTAAAACCCTGGAGAGCCATTGCTACCAGGACAGGCGGACCAATACAAAAGTCTGTATAGGTTAGCTCCTTATGCAACTTTTTTTTGGCAAGCCAATCTATATGTGGAATCTGAATGGTATCTGAAATGGGTCACTGAAACCATGTACCTTTTTTGGCACGCTCCTGAATCCCCACGCTTTCTGCTGCTTTTCTAAGGCCTGTGTTAATGCGTGCCTGGACATAGCGGTAAGGCATATGCCTGTGCCCTTGAAGCTGCAACTGCTGCTTGGTGGAAATCAGCCTGTTGCGGATGCTTTCGTTTTGTCTCTCCAAATCCCGAACTTTCTCCTGGAGTTGCTCAATCACTTCCTCCATCTCGACATCCTGGCCTTGCCGCTTGGGGCCGCCACCGGCCCGTTCTGCTTTTTTCTTGTCATTCACGAGCCGAATTAACTTGGTGGCCATCCTACGGGTGGGTGAAGGGGGGGCAGAGGGGGGATAACACACATAAGATGGAAAAGAAAAGAAAAAAGTGTGTATGTGTGTGTGTGTGTGTGTGTGTGTGTGTGTGTGTGTGTGTGTGTATATATATATATATATATATATATATATATATATAGCGCATTTCTGTTGAAAGGAACATAATCACTGTGAAGACTTCAGTCCAGAACCTGAATAATAAATTTCAGGTTTTGATATAACTATTACGGCCTGTGAAGTTGTCTTTGAAGATAATTGAAACCACTGGGTAGCAATCTGCTTTATAGCACTGACAAATAACAGTTTCCTAAGGCTTATCATTTAAAGTTTAGTCAAGAGGGAGGGACGAATATTTACTCCATATGCTGCTCAAATGTGGAACGCATGACCTTCCCAAGGAACCCTGCACGCTGTTAAGTCTAGTTACAGATTGGGGATGTGGTGGAGCGACATATAAAAAGCAGCGGGCCCCATACGATATTAAGCCATCCTACGCATGCTTACAATATGTAACACATTCTCTCGATGCAGCGCTTCCAGTCTGAATGGAAGGAAGGGGGAGGTCACCTCTTCGTTCTCAAAACGAGTAGGTGGGCAGGCTCAAAGGCAGGCCCTTAATAGCACATGTCGCCTCGCTACATCTTATGCTTAGCAAATAATACCAACATGCTTAAGAGAGGTTTAACAGTTAGCCGTGGGACATAATTGGATGCAGAAGGCATGGTTTTCATCTAACTTTAAAAGGATACAAATTCCGCTTTTGGCATCTCCAGAGTTGTACCTTTGATTTCTCTTAGTTTTGATAAACATGGGGAAGCCAGAACAAAAGGCAGAGGGGGCAGGCGGGGGTGAGGTAATATACAAGAACAGAAAAACACTTCCAGCAATGGTTTTCTCTCTCTTTTTTCCCTTTCTTTTTAGAGGGGGTGGGAATCAAGAGGGAGGGACTTGGCAGACAAAGAAAGGAAAGGTGGTTTTGATGGAGGAGAGGAGTTCAAGACTTTACAAAATTGGTCGCACATCTTCAAGCACCGAATTTACTTTTTAGGGAATCAATTTCTCGCAGGGGTCCAAACAAGAGGCTGGAAACAGAAACATTTGTGTAAAGGGGCTTCCTTTATTTCGGTACAGCATGCTCACATACAGCAGGCGTGGGCGGGGGGGGGGCATTAATAACTTGTAGCTATTTCAGAACAAGTCTACTTGTCTGTAAGCTATGGTTTCAAACAGGGCTGCAGCCAAGGGGGAGGGGGGGGAGGGGTTCAAACCCCCCATGAAATATTTCAGGTTAAACTTTAACTGGTTAATTTTAACTGGTTAACCAAATCCCCATGCTAATTGTATGAGAAGCAAAAATTAAAGCCCCCCCCCCCCCCCACTGAACTGTAAGAACTCTCTCAAGCAAATTTTGACAATGTATTCACACTGTCATTCATTACATGCAGCAATAGCCGATATAGCCCACACATAACTGCTCTGCTCTGGGCCAGAGTGAAGAGAGAGGGAGCCAAAAACAGAAGGGTGGCATAGAAAACAGAAGGGTGGCATATCCTATGCCTTTCCGGAATAGGATAATTTCCAGCACTATGTCCCAGAAGCACTTTATTAGAGTTTAAGACTCTCTGCACATTGCACTTGCCCGGAAATCCAACATACTTCCTGCCACACCCAGCAATTTTTAACCTGTACCCATCACTGGCCCGGCCCTGGTTTTTATTGCGTAATGATGTAATGTTTTGTTATTGCTTATGTTTTAATTTGCTTTAAATTGTATTGTTATTGTTTTGTTGTTGTTGTGTTGAGGCCTTGGCCTTTGTAAGCCGCATCGAGTCCTGCGGGAGATGCTAGCGGGGTACAAATAAAGTTTAATAAATAAATAAATAAATAAATAACTGGTAGACAAAGCTTAAGGCATGGGCAAGGCCATAGCAAAAAAAAAAAAATGGGGAGGGGGAGGGGTTTGAAACTTTTTTTTAGTCAATCATGAAGAGTAATTCTATAACACAAAATAATTTAAATAGTACGATTCATTATATATTTTTATATAGACTTAATTAAATCAATTTTCTATTTTAGTTACAAAGTTTCAAGTCTTAAATAACTGAACATGACTGTTAATTGGTAATTTATAGTTACAAAAGAATACCACAAAGTTTGTTGGAAACACTTGAAAACTATGTCAATGCACTTTGAACGAAATCAGGCTCCATCGATAAACTTCAGTGGACACTCAAGAGTGCAAGTCCAGTCAGTCTTCCTTGCCCCATTGTGCTCCTTATGTATGTTTTCAAACATTTAAGAGTTGAAAACATTTTAAATTTTAAGACTTGAATCTTTGTAACTAAAATAGAAAATTGTTTTAATTATGTCTATATAAAATATAGAATGAACCATACTATTTTAATTATTTTGTGTTATGGAACTACTCTTTATGTTTCGGTAAAAAACTGTTTCAACCCCCCCCCCCCCCCCGAATTTTTTTCTGGCTCTCAAATATTCTGCTGAATTTTTTAAAAAACCTGTTTTATAAAGAAGTCCTCACTAAAAGTCAACGGTTGTAGTAGGCAAAGATGTTTAGGCACCAACCAAACTGCTTCTGATATCACACTGCTTCCAGTTCTCAAAAAGTGAGAGACTGTAAATAGACCTGTAGATGGAAATCTGGTCCCAAACCACCCTCCTTGTCCTGGCTACGAATGCTAGGAATTATAATCCCCAAACAAGACCTTTTGATTTTATCTTCTTGCTTATGAGCATGTTGCTTAAGTAAGAGGTTCTCTTCATGTAAGCGAAGGTAGCGATCTTCCAGCTCCTCTCTACTGATGCGTGAAACTGTTTGCCGAGCTTTTGCATTCTGAGCTGTTGATGGTTCTAAAACATGAGGAAAGAGAGACAATTTGGTTGAGGGTGTTATATAGTTACTCAAAGTTATATATATGGCTTTTGAAATCTCAAATATGCTCTTAAATGTTTGGCGAGAGTACTAGAAGGAAGAAGGGGAAGATTAAGTTCACATACTTCTGGGGCCAAAAAGCTTAAAATACAATCTTGGGAAAGTCTAACTTATATACTTATATACAAAGATGGCAAGGACATAACAGAAGCTGAAGAGATCAAGAGAAGGTAGCGAGACTGTACAGAAGATCTGTATAGGAATGATAATAATATCGAGGATAGTTTTGATAGAGTGGTGAGTGAATTAGAACCAAACATCCTGAGGAGTGAGGTTGAATGGGTCTTAAGAAGCTTTGGTAATACCAAAAGCAGCAGGTAATAACAAAGCAGAAACACGATGCTGTCAAGGTGCTGCATGCCATATGCCAGCAAATATGGAAAACACAAGAATGGCCATCAGATTGGGAAAAAAATCCATTTATATCACCATGCCAAAAAAGGGGAACACTAAAGAATGGCCAAACTTTTGTACAGTGGCACTTATTTCACATGCCAGTAAATTAATGCTCAAGATTCTGCAAGAAAGACTCCAGCAATACATGGAGCAAGAGCTGCTGGATGTACAAGCTGGTTCAGAAAAGGAAGTGGAATGAGAGACCAAATTGCCAATATCTGCTGGATAATGGAGAAAGGCAGGGTTTTTTTTAAAAAAAACCCATCTATTTCTGTTTTGTTGACTATTCTAAAGCCTTTGACTGTATGGAAAGTATGTGGCCAAAGTACTTCATCTTTGCCTCAAATATCCTTCCCTCTAGTGAGGAGTCAGGCTTTATTTCCCGGAGTATGGATTGGTTTGATCTTCTTGCAGTTCAAGGTATTCTCAGAATTTTTCTCCAACATCACTGTTCAAAAGCATCGCTCAGCCTTCCTTATGGTCCAGTTCTTGCATCCATAGGTTACTACGGGCAATACCATTCCTTTAACTATGCGGATCTTCATTGCCAGTGTGATGTCTCTAGTCTTAACTATTTTATTGAGATTGGTCATTGCTCTCCTCCCAAGAAGGAAACATCTTCTGATTTCCGGGCTGCAGTCTGTGTCTGCAGTAACCTTTGCACCTAGAAATACGAAGTCTGTCACTGCCCATGTTTTCCTCCCTCTATTTGCCATGTATCAATCTGTCTGGTTGCCATAGCTTGATTTTTTATGTTTAATGGCAACTCAGCTTTTGAACTTTCTTCTTTCACTTTGGTTATCAGACTCATCAGCTCCTCCTCACTTTCAAACATCAAAGTGGTATGGGTTTTCTTAACATGATTCTGACATTCTAATATTTTCAAATATTTGTGCTTTAAAGGCAATCAAAAATTGATCTACAATCTGTGTGCACACAGCTTCCAAAAGCAAATAAATAGTACAATTTACTTTTCCCTACAATGAGCCATATCTAAAATCCAGTTGTTCCTTTTTCCTCTATCTCCAAGTTTGACTTTCTTTAACCTTGGGCTGGATATTTGGACTGTTATGAAAAGGTTTCCCCTTGACATTAAGTCTAATTGTGTCTAACTCTGGGGGTAGCAAATCATTAATTTTACTTATTTATTTATTTATTTAATGGATACATTTTCCTTCCATTGCAAGGAAAGAGAAGGCACTTGTTGGATGTTAAAATATGGAAAGCTCTATGAAATTTGCTTGCCTCTCTCGGTTCTTCTGGATCACTCAAGTGTTGGGTTGGTCAACACTTGAGTGATTGGCAACAACATCATATTCTGGAAATCCTAAAAACCAACAGAGATAGGAAGGCTGCACATCTGGCATCAAAAAAGGGTTCCAAAGGAATCACAAAAAGGTAAACAAACAGCTAAGTGAGAAACTAGGGGAATATAAATCTAAGGCACTGATAGGAACTACGTGGTCCTTCAGATGTTACTGACTTGCATCCTGACCATTGGCTACACTGGCTTGGTCTGGTGGGAGTTGCAATTCAACAAACCCACACAATTCCCAGCCTTGTGCTGAAGAAAATGTAAAAGGAGCTATCATTTGGGGTGAAGCTGAATGAAGAGCAAATATTCTGGCATAGGGTAGTTAAAAACATAAAAGCATAGCTGGATAAGACCACCACTTCACTAGTCTAGTATTCTCACATAATGGCCTGCCAGATGTCTGAGTAGTTACTTGGTGCCTTATCACACGAGCTTAAAGAGTAGGCAAACAGTATGCACCCCATCTGAATCCTGTGGCTGCCTCCTGCAGAAATCTAGTTTAGTGAGACCCAGGATCTCTCCAGCTGATTATTTTAAAAGCTCCAAAACTACAAGCCCCAGAATTCTGCAGAAGGCAGCCACAAGATTTCAGATTGAATCTTATTGACAGTTCTTTAATTTCATGTCATTTTTACTGCCTGAAAGGGTGAGGAATACTTTTTGGATATTTTGATCCATATGACAAAATAATGTGACTGACAAAATGCCTTGGGCCAGTCATCTGTACTAACCAATATAGATGCTCTAATTGTCCTGTACCCTTGAAATTAATATATAAATAATATATTTAATAAATAAATAATATATTTATATTTATAATATATATATATTTGAAATTAATATATTAAATAATATATTTAATAAATTAATATATAAATTAATATATAAATAATAGTCCTGTACCCTTGAAATTAATATATTTCATATAATTTTCCATCTTTCACCATAGTATTAGTCTTTTCTAAATTTACACAGCTATATCAAATGGGTCATGATATGTCTAAGTGGAAACTATAACTTACTCTAGTTTTGTTTTGCTTTATAAAGGGTATGACAATATTAATATGAATGTCTCTTAATCCAAACATTAACATATTTTCTGTTAAACATGTTTTTTTTCCATTCAATAAAGTTTGAAAATTCAAAAAAATAAATATAATATTTCAGATGGGATGGATACTCTTTGCCTACTCTTTAAGCTCTAGTGTGATACTGGCCTATGGGGTGTATTAGGACGGTGTTAAAAGCTCATTTTCTAGTGTTTACATTGTTTATTATATTGTTTATAGTGTTTATATCTAGTGTTTATAGTGTTTATATTGCTATTTATATTTATATTTATAGTGTTTATATTGCCAGGAAATCAGAAGATGCTTCCTTCTTGGGAGGAGAGCAATGTCCAATCTCGATAAAACAGTAAAGAGTAGAGACATCAGACTGGCAACAAAGATCCGCCTAGTCAAAGCCATGGTATTCCCTGTAGTAACCTACGGATGTGAGAGCTGGACCTTAGGGAAGGCTGAGCGAAGGAAGATCGATGCTTTTGAACTGTGGTGTTGGAGGAAAGTCTGAGAGTGCCTTGGACTGCGAGAAGATCCAACCAGTCCATCCTCCAGGAAATAAAGCCCGACTGCTCACTGGAGGGAAGGATACTAGAGACAAAGTTGAAGTACTTTGGCCAAATCATGAGGAGACAGCAAAGCCTAGAGAAGACAATGATGCTGGGGAAAGTGGAAGGCAAAAGGAAGAGGGGCCGACCAAGGGCAAGATGGATGGATGGCATCCTTGAAGTGACTGGACTGACCTTGAAGGAGCTGGGGGTGGTGACGGCCGACAGGGAGCTCTGGCGTGGGCTGGTCCATGAGGTCACGAAGAGTCGGAGACGACTGAACGAATGAACAACAACATATTGCTATTATCCATAGGAGTCTCATGACCCAATAAGGAATAGCATGGAAGTATGTTCTTGTTCACACCAGAAATACTTCTTATACTTGACTTTGTTGTGGATAAGCGTGCTTTCATTAGAGTACTCCTTTCTGACACTATGTTTCACAGTTCCCATTAACCTGGCCCTCACTGTGAATTTACTGAGAGAAGGAATCTATAAACATGGGTGTTTTGGAGCAGATTGAGGAAAACTGTAGAAGGCAGTACAAACCTTGAAACCCTCCTTGCGCTAGACCTACATCTCTCACTGGGAGGTCCTCTGATGTTTCATCTGCCGCAGCAGACATGGCTGAGCTCTGCATGCCTAAGTCCAGATCATTTTTTTCTTTTGTCTATGAGCAAATTGGAGAGAAAAGCAAGTTAAAGTACATTATAAATTATATGAGAGCAAATGAAAGAGAAAGGTAATGATAGCTGTTTAAAGAACTCTCATTCCCCAGCACCACACACAGATTACAGCATCCAGGCCATAGGGACTTTTGTCCAAAATGTGACTTCATCTCAGGATGTGCCTACCTTAAGATCCTGCCCTATGATTTATTTAAATGCTGACTATAAAGTTTTCCATCCAAATACACTTGTCCATCTGTAGCACAGTTCAGCAAGTACACTTTCCCAGTGGTTTTTGAGTTATGTTAATCCCACAAATGGACATTACATTTTTATTTACAGTATATAGGTAAAGGTTTTCTCCTGACATGGAATCCAGTTGTGTCCGACACTGGGGTGTGGTGCTCATCTCCATTTCTAAGCCGAAGAGCCAGCATTGTTCGTAGACACCTCCAAGGTCATGTGGCTGGCATGACTGCATGGAGAGCCGTTATTTATTTATATAGGGTTACAATATAACGTTAGAGTACACTATAGTTATATATAATACTGATATTGTACTATGCTGATAATATAATATATTGTATGTAGACATATCTTCTAAGCTGCTCTGAGTCCCCTTCAGGGTTATTTATTTCGTATCGAAAGCATTGCATAAATTAGTATAAAACTGATAAAAAATAAAAGGAGTGCAGGCGGCTAAATATCTTTTGACCAAAAACAGGCAACAGCAACGGCACTGTCTGTAGCCTCCAACAATTCCTCTTCTGTATATGAGGCAGGGCACAGTAGACAAGCATAAAGTTGCAGAGTTGTCTGTTCTGCTCCACAGTCACTCAAGGTGTCGGATTCTTTTAGGTCATGCCATTTTGCCAGGTTGTCTTTTGATCTGCCCACTACACTTCTGAGTCTGTTCAGGGACTTCCAAGTTGCTCACTCTTGGTTTGCCCCTGGAGGAAGACCCTCTCTCGTGAGGGGCCATCCAGTTGGGGTTTCCTGGTTTAGCTGCCCAGAGGGATACCCTTGCTGTCACTGGGAGGATGCCAAGAGTGGTAGTTCTCATAAAGCTTTTCCTTGATTTGAGTCTGCTGGGAGGAGGCTGGTAGCCATGTAGTGGGTGGCTTTCACAGTGTTCAACCTTATTTCTCTCATATTTAGCAGCAACTTCCCGTCGCACATGGTTGGGGGGGAGGGGGGAAATGTCAGCTACCTTGTAGAGTTTATCAACAGGTGTAGGTTTAAGAGAAACCAAAGTGCTCTTCCAGCAGTCACCGGCCAATCCTTCTCCAATGCCAGAAATACAGATTAATGATGTAACATTAGAAAATGTTGACTACCTTGGCAGCCACTTCTCCACAAAAGTCAGCATTGACACTGAAATTCAACACTGCCTGAGCTCTGCGAGTGCAGCATTTTTCCAAATGAAGCAGAGGGTGTTTGAGGACCAGGACATCTGTAGGGATACCAAGGTGCTTGTTTATAAAGCTATTGTCTTCACAACCCTGCTATATGCCTGCAAAACGTGGACTGTCTACAGATGTCACATGCAACTCCTGGAATGATTCCATCAGCGCTGCCTCCGAAAAATCCTGCAAATCTTGGGAAGACAAGCAGACAAATGTCAGCATGCTGGAAGGAGCAAAGACCACCAGCATCATTTCCGCTTCCTTGACAGCCACCTCTCCACCAAAGTCAACATTGACACCGAAATACAACACCGCCTGAGCTCTGCAAGTGCAGCATTTTTCCGAATGAAGCAGAGAGTGTTTGAGGACCGGGACATCCATAGGGATACCAAGGTGCTTGTTTATAAAGCTATTGTCCTCCCAACCCTGCTATATGCCTGTGAGACGTGGACTGTCTACAGATATCACATGCAACTCCTGGAATGATTCCATCAGCGCTGCCTCTGAAAAATCCTGCAAATCTCTTGGGAAGCCAAGCAGACAAATGTCAGTGTGCTGGAAGAAGCAAAGACTACCAGCATCAAAGTAATGGTCCTCCGCCATCAATTCCGCTGGACCAGCCACTTTGTCCAGATCCCCGACCACTGTCTCCCAAAGCAATTGCTCTACTCCGAACTCAGTAAGGGAAAGCGGAATGTTGAAGGAGAGGAAAAGAGATTTAAAGATGGGCTCAAAGCCAACTTAAAAACTCTGGTTAGAACCACTGATCTAGATAAAGGCATCACTACCAGCTTTTCTAATCTTATCTGAAGGATCATGCTGTCTTTGCGAGACGTGGACTGTCTACAGATGTCACATGGAACTCCTGGAACGATTCAATCAGCGCTGCCTCTGAAAAATCCTGCAAATCTCTTGGGAAGACAAGAGGACAAATGCCAGCATGCTGGAAGAAGCAAAGACCACCAGCATTGAAGCCATGGTCCTCCACCACCAACTCCGCTGGACCAGCCACATTGTCCGGATGCCCAACCACCGTCTCCCAAAGCAGTTGCTGTACTCTCAAGAACAGAAAACGTAATGTTGGTGGGCAGGAAAAGAGATTTAAAGATGGCCTCAAAGCCAACCTTAAAAACTCTGGCATAGACACTGAGAACTGGGAAGCCCTGACCCTTGAGTGCTCCAGCTGGAGGTCAGCTGTGACCAGCAGTGCTGCAGAATTTGAAGAATGGAAGGTGAAAGAGAGAAACATACTAAGCCAATCCTGACCGGGACCACGTTCCACCTGGAAACCAATGCCCTCATCAAGAATAGGGCTCCAAAGTCACCTATGGGCCCACCACCAGGAGACTACACTAAGTAAGTAAGTAGGTTTAAGACATCCTGTGATTATTCTGCATGTTTCATTCAATGCTATGTTCATATGCTTTGCATGGGCAGACCTATACCAAACAGAGCAGGGGTTTCTTTTGTCGTGTCAGGAGCGACTTCAGAAACTGCAAGTCGCTTTTAGTGTGAGTGAATTGGCCGTCTTCAAGGACGTTGCCCAGGGGACGCCCGGATGATTTGATGTTTTTATCATCCTTGTGGGAGGCTTCTCTCATGTCATGGCAGTGGATCTCAACCTAAAGGTCCCCAGGTGTTTTGGCCTACAACTCCCAGAAATCCCAGCCAATTTACCAACTGTTAGGATTTCTGCGAGTTGAAGGCCAAAACATCTGGGGACCTACAGGTTGAGAACCACTGCACTAAGATGACCAAGACTGTTTCCGTACCCTGTCCCAGTCTAAAGCCAGAATGCACCGGATCCAGATAATCAGTTTCCTTCACGAACATCTGGAGTTGTGAGGCCACCACACATTCCATGACTCTGCCCAAAAAGGGGAGATTGGAAACTGGGTGAAAGTTGTTCAGTTGAGTTCAGTTGAGTTTAATGTTTAAACTTGGTCTCATCTCCAAGATATCTCATTATCTGTGCACATGTAGATCTTCCAGTGTGAAAAAAAAATCACTATAGTTCTCATCCTGAGCATTTTAGATAAGTGATACTCAACATGTGATGATGGATCTCTCTTGTTGTTGTTCATTCGTTCAGTCGTCTCCGACTCTTCGTGACCTCATGGACCATCCCACGCCAGAGCTCCCTGTCAGCCGTCACCACCCCCAGCTCCTTCAAGGTCAGTCCAGTCACTTCAAGGATGCCATCCATCCATCTTGCCCTTGGTCGGCCCCTCTTCCTTTTGCCTTCCACTTTCCCCAGCATAATTGTCTTCTCTAGGCTTTCCTGTCTCCTCATGATGTGGCCAAAGTACTTCCACTTTGTCTCTAGTATCTTTCCCTCCAGTGAGCAGTCGGGCTTTATTTCCTGGAGGATGGACTGGTTGGATCTTCTCGCAGTCCAAGGCACTCTCAGCACTTTTCTCCAACACCACAGCTCAAAAGCATTGATCTTCCTTCGCTCAGCCTTCCCTAAGGTCCAGCTCTCACATCCGTAGGTTACTACAGGGAATACCATGGCTTGGACTAGGCGGATCTTTGTTGCCAGTCTGATGTCTCTACTCTTTACTATTTTATCGAGACTGGACATTGCTCTCCTTCCAAGAAGGAAGCGTCTTCTGATTTCCTGGCCACAGTCTGCATCTGCAGTAATCTTTGCACCTAGAAATACAAAGTCTGTCACGGCCTCCACGTTTTCTCCCTCTATTTCCCAGTTGTCAATCATTCTTGTTGCCATAATCTTGGTTTTTTTTATGTTTAGCTGCAACCCGGCTTTTGCGCTTTCTTCTTTCACCTTGATTAGAAGGCTACTCAGCTCCTCCTCGCTTTCGGCCTTCTCTCTTATCTCTCCTGAATATCCCATCTCCCAGCTTCAAGGGTGGTTTTTTTTTTGTCATGTCAGGAACGACCTGAGAAACTGCAAGTCGCTTCTGGTGTGAGAGAATTGGCCGTCTGCAAGGACGTTGCCCAGCGGACCCTGGATGATTTGATGTTTTTATCGTCCTTGTGGGAGGCTTCTCTCATGCCCCGCATGAGGAGCTGGAGCTGAAAGAGGGAGCTCATCCTCACTCTCCCTGGATTCGAACCTGCGACCTGTCGGTCTTCAGTCCTGCCAGCACAGGGGTTTAACCCACTGCGCCACCGGGGGCTCATGGGCAGGGGTGAGAAGGGTGTAAATAAATAAACAAACAAATGGATCCCCCAAGGAAGCCACACATTGTCTCCCACCCTTATTCTCACGACAGAGCAAGCCCCACACTGGTTCCCACCCCTCCTTTCCTCCCTCACTCACTCACAAGGGCCCGGGCCTCTCCGCATCCTCCCTTAGCAACCGCCTCCGTTGCTACCCATCCACAGACACAGCAAGAGCTGACTTCCTCCCGGAAGCCGGTCTTCCCCTCGCAATGCCTTCTGGGAGCCGCAGTCCTTCAAAACTGACATCCCGGCGGCGGGCGCATGCGCGCGGTCGCAGTGCCTGTCGGGAGTCGTAGTCCTGAGAGGGGAAGGCAGGCTTGTTTGAGGCTGGTCCTGCTTCCCGGGATTCTTGAATTGGTTGAACCGGCGAGGAAGGAGAAAGAGGAAGGAAAGAAGGAAGGGAAGGAAGGAAGAAGGGTTTGGCTTTCAAGGAGCAGCAGGAAGATGAAGAGGAGAGGAAGAGAGGAAAGGGACAAGGAGGACAAGGTAAACACAACCCACACACACACAGAGAGTATTTTTGCAACTTTTCTCCTAAATGTAAACCTAAGCAAAAGGTCATGAGTTCGAAGCCAGCCCGGGTTGGAGTGGGTTTCCAACCAATTGTGTGTAGCCTGTTGTCGACCTTTGCAACCCGAAAGACAGTTGCATCTGTCAAGTAGGAAAATTAGGTACCACCTTAAAGTGTGGGGAGGCTAAATTAACTGATTTATTAGGCCATAAGGAAGACTCCAGCAAAGCATTCCAGCGGGGAAGCATGCAGGGAATGCGGAAGTTTATGAGGCCATAAAGAAGACTCCAGCAAAGCATTCCAGCGGGGAAGCATGCGGGGAATGCGGAAGTGCTTCATTAGCGTCGCAGATGGACGATGAAAGCGACAGCTCCCCTGGCGGCCAGAAAAAGTTAAATAGCCTCTGTGTATGTCTGTATATGTTTGTATGTCAAAAATTGGCATTGAATGTTTGCCATATATGTGTACACTGTAATCCGCCCTGAGTCCTCTGCAGGGTGAGAAGGGCGGAATATAAAAGCTGTAAATAAACAAATAAATAGATAAATAACAGTTTATAATTCTGCATATAGCGGTATATAAATACTGTAAATAAAATAATTAATAAATACATACATATATCTCTATATCTAGGTGTGTGTGTATACACACGCCCACCTGCATAGGTACTACACACACACATGTCCTAGGCACATGTATTTATTTATTTATTATTTTAAAATTATATATATATATATATATATATATATATATATATATAATTCTAAAAATAAAATAATAAATAAATACATATATCTCTATATCTAGGTGTGTATATACACACGCTCACATGCATATATACTACACACACAGGTGTACTATGCACGTGTATTTATTTATTTATTATTTTAAAGATATATATATATATATATATATATATATGCTCACCTGCATATGTACTACACACACATATGTACTATGCACATGTATTTATTAATTTATTATTTTAAAATTATATATATATATTATTTTGAAATTAAATAATAAATAAATAAATACATATATCTCTATATCTAGGTGTGTGTGTGTATACACACGCTCGCCTGCATATGTACTACACATGCATGTGTCCTATGCACATGTATTATATATATATATATATATATATAAAAATTTAAAATTAAAATAATAAATAAATACATACATATATCTATATCTAGGTGTGTGTGTATATACACGCTCGCCTGCATATGTACTACACACACACATGTCCTATGCACATGTATTTACTTATTATTTTAAAATTATATATCTATCTGTTGTTGTTCATTCGTTCAGTCGTCTCCGACTCTTCGTGACCTCATGGACCAGCCTACGCCAGAGCTCCCTGTCGGCCGTTACCACCCCCAGCTCCCTCAAGGTCAGTCCAGTCACTTCAAGGATGCCATCCATCCATCTTGCCCTTGGTCGGCCCCTCTTCCTTTTGCCTTCCACTTTCCCCACCATAATTGTCTTCTCTAGGCTTTCCTGTCTCCTCATGATGTGGCCAAAGTAATGTATCTATCTATATATATATTATTTTAAAATTAAAATAACAAAATAATAAATACATATATCTCTATATCTAGGTGTGTGTATACACACGCTCGCCTGCAGATCTACTACACACACGTGTATTATGCTCATGTCTTTATTTATTTATTATTTTAAAATTATATATATATATATATATATATATATATAATTTTAAAATTTAAATAATAAAATAATAAATACATATATCTCTATATCTAGGTGTACTACACACACATGTGTACTATGCACATGTATGTATTTATTATTTTAAAATAATATATATATTATTTTAAAATTAAAATAATAAATAAATACATATATCTCTATATCTAGGTGTGTGTATACACACGTTCGCATGCATATGTACTACACACACATATGTCCTAAGGTAAAGGGTAAAGGTAGTCCCCTGACATTAAGTCCAGTCGTGTCTGACTCTGGGGTGTGGTGCTCATCTCCATATCTAAGCCAAAGAGCCAGCATTGTCCGTAGACACCTCCAAGGTCATGTGGCCGGCATGACTGCATGGAGCGCCGTTACCTTCCCGCTGGAACGGTACCTATTGATCTACTCACATTTGCATGTTTTCGAACTGCTAGGTTGGCAGAATATGTCCTATGCACATGTATTTATTTATTTATTTATTTAAAATTATATATATATATTATTTTTAAATTAAAATAATAAATAAATAAATACATATATCTCTATATCTAGGTGTGTGTATACACACGCTCGCATGCATATGTACCACACACACATATGTACGATGCACATGTATTTATTTATTATTTTAAATATATATATATATATATATATATATATATATATAATAAATACATATATCTCTATATCTGGGTGTGTGTATATACATGCTTGCCTGTATATGTACTACACACACATATGTCCTATGCACATGTCTTTATTTATTTATTATTTTAAAATTATATATATATATATATATATATATATATATATAAAAATAATAAATAAATACATATATCTCTATATCTAGGTGTGTATACACACCCTCGCCTGCATATGTACTACACACACATGTGTACTATGCACATGTATTTATTTATTATTTTAAAATAATAAATATATATTTAGATATTATTTTAAAATTAAAATAATAAATACATACATACATATATCTCTATATCTAGGTGTGTGTATATACACACTCGCCTGCATATGTACTACACACACACATGTACTATGCACATTTATTTATTATTTTAAAATTAAAATAATAAATAAATACATATCTATATCTAGGTGTGTGTATACACATACTTGCCTGCATATGCCCTATGCACATGTATTTATTTATTTATTATTTTAAAATTATATATATATATATATATATATATAATTTAAAATTTAAAATAATAAATAAATACATATATCTCTATATCTAGGTGTGTGTATACACATGCTCGCCTGCATATGTACTATACACACATATGTACTATGCACATGTATTTATTTATTATTTTATTTATTTCCCCGAAGGGGGACTCAGGACAGTGGCTTACATTGGCAACAATTCAATGCCATAAATACAAACAAACAACAATATATCAATAGTTTAAAACAATAAATAAATTGTTAGGTCAAAAGCAGTTGAAACATTTATCAACACCATGAAGCCGGTCCAGTTCAATTCCTTAATTTTGTCAAAACCATAAGCCATTCCAGTTCAGTTCCATAACCAAGTGCTGCTACGTCTGTTGTCCCAGAACCATGATTTCGGTTTTTTCCTGAAAGACAGGAGGGAAGAAACCAACCTGATCTTGCTAGGGAACAAGTACCATAGGTGGGGGGGGGGGGGCACAGCCGAGAAGGCCCTGTCTCGTTCCTGCGAAGGTGGCAGAGCTGAGAGCAGGGCCTCCCCTGTGGGGTGGGACATCGAGGGAGATACATTCTGACAAGTAAGCTGGGGCGGAGCCATATAGGAATTATAGGTCAAGACCAGCACTTTGAATTGTGCTCAGAAGTGGACGGGCAGCCAGTGAAGCTGACATAACAGGGGGGTGGTGTGTTCCCTGTATGTCGCTCCAGTTAGCAATCTGGCTGCCACCCGTTGGACTAGTTAGAGTTTCCGAACAGTCTTCAAAGGCAACCCCATGTAGAGTACGTTGCAGTAATCTATACAGGATGTAAACAGAGTGTAGACCACCGTAATCAGATCATACTGTACACACATGTAGTATATACACACACATACTAATATTTATTTATTTATTTATTTATTTGATCAGTCATATGAACATTTCAAAATACAACACAAAAAAAAGACAAGGCAAAAAGGAGACGTACTAGATACACCCATGCACTTTATATACACATATATGTACTATATATCACCCATATATGTCCCCCACACATGTACTATAGACACACATGTACTATATACACATATATATCCTACACACATGTACTATACACCCATATATGTACTATATATACACATATATGTAGTACTCACATATTATAATGTACACACATATGTACTACACACATGTACTATACATATAAAATGTGGACTATATACAGATATATGTACTATACACCCATATATGTTCTATATTTATATATATATGTACTATATACACATATATGTACTACACACATATGTACAATGTACACACATATGTACTACACACATTCACTATACATATACACACCTATATACAGATATATGTACTTTATACACACAGAGTCCCCACATATATACACCGTAACAGTTTATAATTCTGGATAACGATGTATGTATGTTTGTGTTTAGAAATAGATAGATATGCAATTCCCTAAAAATGTATAAAGTTTATACAGTTATGTTCCAGTACACTACAAGAAGCAAGATTTTATTTATTTATTTATTTATTTCATGCAAAGAGGGACTCAGGTCGGCCTCACATAAGCATCATGTGATGCTAACAACAAATACACAACAAAGGTTACAATTAAAACAGTAAAAATCATGAAAACACATTATACAGATTCATTACCAAACTCATTAAACAATAAATTAAGATGTCAGTTAAAACCAAGACAGGTAAATCCAATGTCGCATATGTCCTAACTTTTCCTTCTGATTGTCGCTGTCCACAAGACAAACGCCTGGTCCCAGAGCCAAGTCTTTAATTGTCTTCTAAAGGACAGGAGGGAGGTGGCCATCCTGATGTCCTTAGGGAGGGAATTCCACAGATGGGGGCCCTGCTGAAAAGGCCCTGTCCCTTGTCCCCACAAACCGCGTTTGTGAGAGTGGTGGGATTGAGAGCAGGGCCTCCTCTGATGATCTTAAGCTTTGTGATGGTTCATAACAGGAGATATGTTTGGACAGGTAATCTGGGCCAGAACCGTATAGGGCTTTAAAGGTTAAAACCAGCATTTTGAATTGTACTCGGAAGCT